AATTCTGAAAGAGATGGGAATACCAGACCACCTGACCTGCCTCTTGAGAAACCTGTATGAAGGTCAAGAAGTAACAGTTAGAACTGGACATGAAACAACAGACTGGTTCAAGGCTGTATATTGTCACATTTAACTTATATGCAGAGTACATCATGAGAAACGCTGGGCTGGAAGAAGCACAAGCTGGAATCAAGATTGCCGGGCGAAATATCAATAACCTCAGATACGCAGATGACACCACCCTTATGGCAGAAAGTGAAGAGGAACTAAAAAGCCTCTTGATGAAAGTGAAAGAGGAGAGTGAAAAAGTTGGCTTAAAGCTTAACATTCAGAAAACTAAGATCATGGCATCTGGTCCCATCACCTCATGGGAAATAGATGGGGAGACAGTGGAAACAGTGTCAGACTTTATTTGGGGGGGCTCCAAAATCACTGCAGATGGTGACTGCAGCCATGAAATTAAAAGACACTTACTCCTTGGAAGGAAAGTTATATAGACAAGGGCTCAGCAAATGTTGAGTGCAGGAATGCAAGGATGAATGGACAGAAGTTGGATGTTGAGTGTATGTGTGGGTGGTAAATGATGGATAAGTGGATACATGAATAATAAATGAAAGATGGATAAGTGGTGAAAGTGAAAGTCGCTCACTTTTACTTTCAAAAAGTCATGTCCGACTCTTTGCATCTCCATGGAATTCTCCAGGCCAGAATACTAGAGTGGGTAGCTGTTCCCTTCTCCAGGGGATTTTCCCAACCCAGGGAACAAACCCAGGTCTCCCACATTGCAGGTGGATTCTTTACCAGCTGAGCCACCAGGGAAGCCCAGATAAGTGTTAGAAGTATACACAAAGGGGACTTCCCTGGTGGTTCAGTGGTTAAGAATCCACCTTGAAATGCAGGGGACATGGGTTCGATCCCCAGTTGGGGATCTAAGATCTCACACACAGAGGGGCAACTAAGCCTACGAGCCAAACTAGAGAGTATGTGTGCCACAATGAAAGATCCTGAATGACCCAACAAAGATTCCTCCTGCCACAACTAAGACCTGATGCAGCCAAAGAAATTAAAAAAAAAAAAAAAAAAAAGACTGATAGTAGCAAATGTTGGAGAGGGGGTAGGGTAACTATAAATCATACGATGCTGGTGGGAGCATAAAGTGGTTCAACCACTTTGAAAAATTGTTAGGCAGTTCCTTTAAAAGTGAAACATATACCTACTCTGTGACCCGGCAGTTCCACTTCCTAGTATTTATCTCGAGAGAAATAAAAAACATCCACAGAAAGTCTTACATGCAAATTTCTCTTAGCAGCTTTATGCACAATAGCCCCCAAACTAGAAATAGCTGAGGTGTCTATCAACAGGCAGATGTAGGAAAGAACCTTGATGCATCCTTGCAATGGAATACCGCTCAACAATAAAAAGGAACCCACTGCAAATATGTGTAACAAAACAGATAGCCAGGATGTGGAGTAAAAGAGCCAGACACAAGACAGTACATGCTGTCTGATTCTTGTTATCTGAAAGTCTAATAACACAGGCAGAACTAAACTGTGGTGACAGAAATCCAAACAGTAGCTACCTCTGGGGTGTGGATTGATGAGGAGGGGCACAGGGGAATTCTGGGGTGTTGGGGATTTTCTTTATCTCAATCAGGGCATATGCATTTATCCACCTCAATCAAACTGTACATTTACAGTCTGTGCATCCCATTCCCAAATTCCCCTCAAATTTGTTAAACAAATTATGTCTATTAGCATGTTTTAGTTCTCTACTGCAGAGAACTAAATGTTCAGAACAAATGTTCTCAAACTTAGTAGCTTAAAACCATACCCATTTCTCGCAGTTCTGTGGCCAGAAGTCTGGACTGAGACTTGGCTGTGGTCTCTGCACAGAGGTCATGGGCTGAAGTCAAGGAGTCAAACTTCTGACCTCGAAGTTCTGGAGATGTCTCTGCTTCCAAGCTCACTCCTATTGTTGGCAAGAGTCAGTTTCTTATAGGACCACATCCCTGCTGGCTGGTGGTCAAGGAAGGCACTCAGCTCCATCCTGTAGCACAGCAGTCTGGCGTTCTGTGCCATGTGGTCCCCTCCATCCTTGAGCCAACAGTGATTCACCAAATCATTCTCCAGCCCCAAATCTCTGACCACTCCTTCTGTGACAGCCAGAGAAAGCTCTCCATTTTAAGAGGTTCATGTGGGGCCTTCTCTAGTGGTTCAGTGGTTAAGACACCCCCTTCCAGTGCAAGGGATGTGGGTTTGATTCCTGGTTGGGGAGCTAAGATCTGACATGCCTCAGGGCTGCAACTGGGACCCAGTGCAGCCAAATAAATATTGTACAAATTAGATGAATAAATAAAATAAAGGTTCATGTGATTAGGTAAGGCCCACCTAGAGAATCTCCCTATCTTAAGGTCAGCTATGCCAAAGAGTGGGCGTCCCAGGTGACTCACTGGTAAAAAAATCCACCTGCCAGTACAGGAGACATGGGTTCGATCCCCAGTTGGGGATCTAAGATCTNGTTCGATCCCTGGGTCGGGAAGATCCCCTGGAGAAGGAAATGGCAACCCACTCCAGTATTCTTGCCTGGAGAATCCCATGGACAGAGGAGCCTGGCAGGCTATAGTCCATGGGGTAGCAAAGGGTCGGACACAACTGAGTAAGCAACACATTCACAGAGGAGCATCGTCTGATCCTTTTCTGAGGGAAAGTTTTATTTTCAAAGCGAATGGGAAGAGAGGTTGGAAGAAGAAAAAGGAGAGACCAGAAGTCCCACACCAATTCTGACTCCTCAACTCTTGCCAAGGCCACGCTGGACTCAGACACAGGCTTTTTTGCTTTGGGCCAGCACACTTAAGAGGAAGATAAAAACTAGCTGCTGAGGCTACAGTTAGGTTGTCTAAGAGATGTGGTCATTTTGACCCATGAGATACTGCAGAGAGACAGTGAGCTGTCCCCGGCTGGTGTCAACCCAGAAGTCATGGCCACCCAGAAGCTCTTCAGGTCAGATGCTATGTGGATGGACAACCGTAGACAGACTGAAGGGCTGAGAGAAGCCAGCAGGGTCCAGTCTGGCACCGAGCGTGCAGGTCTAGATGTGTTTTCAGAGGCATCTTTAATTTGTGGAGCAGGTTGGCTGGCCCTAGGGCTTCCATGGTGGCCTGGCGGGCTACAGTCCGTGGGACCACAAAAAAGTCGGAGACGACTGAGCGACTAACACTTTCACTTTGACACAACATAGTTGAAGGTATGTACAACAAGGTATGTACAAAAATAAGCACATAGTATAGGAACAGGTATAGAGACACAACGTACTCTGCCACTGTATGCATAGTAGTCTAGTATTATGGGATGCCTTTGGGCTATGTGTCTGTACAGCAGTGTATAAAATGTAACGCCAAGTGTGGCTTATGGTCTGGAGCTCAGTAAGGAGAACTGGATGGAAACTGGACAGCCACGTGAAGAGCGCAGACCTGACTCTTCAGGAACTGTGGTGCGATTCCAGCTCCAGCTTCAACGCTCAGTGACTGAGTGTCATTCGGGGGGCAAGTCACTTCCCCTCTCTGGGCCTCAGTTTCTTTGTTTATAAAATGAGACAGTTGGCCTTTCATGATTCCTGAGTGTCCTTCCAGCTCTGAGAATCTGTGAGTCTATAAAGACAGTGCTGCACAGAGGTGCAGATGGGCATAGAGTGTGTCGTACAGAGTCAAGGAAGTCAGAAAGAGAAAAACAAATTTCATATGATATCACTTATATGTGGAATCTGGAAAAATGGTACAGATGAACTTATTTGCAACGCAGAAATAGAGTCACAGATATAGAGAACACACTTACGGATGCCAAAGGGGCAGGAGCGGGGGAGGAATTGGGAGATTGGGATGGACATATATACACTGCTGTGTATGAGACAGATGACTAACGAGAACCTGCCGTATGGCACAGGGAACTCTATTCAGTGCTCAGCGGTGACCTAGAAGGGAAGGAGCTCCAAAGAGGAGGGGATATATGTACACATATAGATGGATCACTTTGCTTATAGCAGAAACTAACATAACATGGTAAAGCAGTTATACTCCAATAAATCGTGTTTTTAGAACAGGAAACTGGGGGAGGAGGAGGCAAGGGAGGCAGGCAGAGAAGACAGGGGAAGGGGAGAAAGGGAGGCAAAAACAGACCAAACTGTCCTGCCAATAAGACTCCAGATCCCAGTTTTGAAGCACCACTAAGAACAAACTGATGAAGGCTCTGAATTTTCACACTGGTGGAGCAAGGAGGAGAGACCAGCAGTGTGAAAATGGACTCCTTCCTGCTCTCGACTGCATCTCCTTTGCAAGTCAAGATAATTAAGCCTCTTGGGAAGTTGGGAAAACATTAACACCTGATACTCTAGTTTAAATTCATTATAAGAGATGTACCAAAGCCTTATTTTAACCAAAGAGTTCTCTCTTGTAGCTTGTCATTTACCTCTAGAAAGGGATGCGGGAGCAAGCATGGAGCTTTGATTTGAGGATCAGGTGTTTTCCTCCAGGTACAGGCTCCAGGTCCTCTACCCACCCTCTGCCCCTGCCACCCCCCTGAGGAGAAGCTGCCAGCTCTTTCCACCACCCCTCCCTGCCCCTTCAGAGCACTGCTGGGCAGAGCCTCCTTCTCTGACACCACCAAGGGACCAGTCTCCCCTGCCCACCACCTCCGTCACATAGCCCCTCTCCTAGAGCAAAGCTGTTTCCCTGCCCTCAGCCTCCTGGGATCCTCATCTCCATCCTGGGGGCTTGTAGGGAAGCAATTATTGTCCCATTTTGCCATGAGGGTCTCCCCCATAAGTTCTCTGGGACTTAAAGAACTTGTGTGAAGCGGCTTCTGAGTTTGTGACAAAAGCCACTGTCTCTAAGCTGGCTTGCCACTGACCAGCTGCATCCAGGGAACCTGGAAGGTCACATCAGTAGATTCCAGACTGAAGAGTGTCCCCCCAATTTAAGTGGGAGGTCATTGGTGACCCCAGAGAGGCAGCCGCTCCTGTGGGTGCAGTGTCCTACCTGCCCTTTCCCTCTGTCTACAGCTACCGGACCCTGGCCACGGAGCACGAGGCACTGATGCAAAAATACCTGCACCTGCTGCAGATCGTGGAGACTGAGAAGACGGTGGCCAAGCAGCTGCGGCAGCAGATTGAGGACGGGGAGGTGGAGATCGAGCGACTGAAGGCAGAGGTGACCACAACCCCGGGAGCAGAGGAGGCTGGCCAGGGATCCTGGCCTCCAGCCTCACAACCGGGCTCCCCAGGTTCAGGGAGACACAGGGTGGGCAGGAGGGACCCACTCCCAGCCACAGCTGTGCCAGCCCCAAACTTAAAAGGTCGGGTGGTCAGATCTGAGTTCAAAGCCCGCCTCTGCCTCATAACAAATGCACCTGAAGCAAGTCCCCCAGTCTCTCTGCACCTCTGTCTATGTTGTTGTTTAGTCGCTAAGTCGTGTCCAACTCTTTGCGACCCCATGGACTGCAGTACACCCAGCTTCCTTGTCCTTCACTATCTCCTGGGGTTTGCTCAAACTCATGTCCTTTGAGTCGATGTTGCTATCCAACGATCTCATCCTCTGTCGTCCACTTCTCCTCCTGCCTTCAATCTTTCCCAGCATCAGGATCTTTTCCAGTGAGTCAGCTCTTTACATCAGGTGGCCAAAGCATTGTAATTTCAGCTTCAGTATCAGTCCTTCCAATGAATATTCAGGGTTGATTTCCTTTAGGATTGACTGGTTTGATCTCCTTACTTCCCTAGAGACTCTCGAGAGTCTTCTCCAGCACCACAGTTCGAAAGCATCAATTCTTCGGTGCTCAACCTTCTTTCTGAAGAACGGGCTTTTTATCGTTAGCTGACAAGGTTGTGAAGATCAAGTGAGGTCACTGATTGGCAAGCTCCTGGTTACTCTGCTGACAACCACATGGACTAAGGGGGCGGGTGTGGCTCCAGAGTGTGGCTGGTAAGTCCTCAGAGTGTGGGTTGAGGCTCAGCTCCAAGACGGTCCCTTCCTTCTGCCTGCTATGGCCATCTGGAGGCTGGTTAAGTCTTCTAGAACTTCTAGAACTAGTCTTCTAGCGTTGCTAGGTTAAGTCTTCTAGACCTTCACTACTCAAAATGTGATATGGTCCATCAGAAATGCAGAACCTGGGGTCCCACTTAGATATGCCAAGTCAGAACCTGCACTTTAACAGCATCCCAGCAATTCTCCTTTTCCTGAGAGATACTGACTCTTAGCCCTTAGATGCCCCTCGCCAGCTGTTCTTCTCCTCTACACGATGGTCTGATCGCCTCACACTGTCTCATCTCACCAGGAGGTCACAATGTGTGTGTTAATAGCTCAGTCATGTCTGACTCTTTGTGACCCTCATGGACTGTAGCCCACCGGGCTTCTCTGTCCATGGGATTCTCCAGGCAAGAATACTGGAGTGGGTTGCCATTCCCTTCTCCAGGGTATCCTCCTGATCCAGGGAACGAACCCCAGTCACCCACATTGTGGGCAGATTCATTACCATCTGAGCCACCAGGGAAGCCCCCCAAAATGCAGGGGCATCAATTCTTCAGAGCTCAGCCTTTTTTATTGTCCAGCTCTCACATCCATACATGACTACCGGAAAAAAAAGTCATAGTTTTGACTATATGGACCTTTGTAGGCTACAGTCCATAGGGTCCCATAGAGTCGGACAAGACTGAGTGACTAAGCACACATGCACAGGGAACTAGATCCCACATGTCACTGCTGCTGCTGCTAGGTCACGTCAGTCGTGTCTGACTCTATGCGGCCCCATAGACTAGACAAGATGAAAAAATTTAAGGAAGGATAAAAAAAGGGAGGAAGAACTGAGCTGTGTGGCAGCTATCTGAAAAGCAAGAACTACAAAGGTCTTTAGTAAAACCTTGGTGGGTAAAAAAGAGGAAAACACCTGGGTTAATTCCACCATAAATAACTGCTCTGACTAAATGCATTCTGGACTAAAGACACTGCCTCTTGAGGAGGGAGCAGGATGGGGCAGAAGCCGATGCACCATGTCTCAAAGTTGGGGTGGCAAGCGGGGTTTTTCTCTAATGGATCAAGGAAGCCAGACCACCGGTGGCGAGTGGGCAGGATCCAGCAGAGACACCTGGCTTTGAGCCTGGTCAGGCAGCCGAAGCTAGACTCTAGCCGGTGAGTTGGGCATGAGCCAAAGTCCCCACCCTGCATAGCCTTCATCAACAAGGGTCAACTGAGCAGACCCTGGATGTCTAGCAAGCAAACCAAGGTCCAAAGCGGAGCCATCTCTAGAAGAGACCTGCTAGGGTTGGAGAAAGGCTGCCTCCGTGGGCTCACCTGACACTCGCTCCAGGCAGAGATGGGCCACAGCCCAGGACTTGTGTGGGGTCCCAGGCTTGCAACTCCCTCACTAGAGCTTTGCCCCCCACCCTGGACCTGATGATCCTTGAACAGAGGCTCCAAGGCTGCCAGTGCTACTGTGCATGCAGCATAGCGCCTGACCTAATTGCATCTATTTTTTGCCCTGGTCCCTGCTGAGTGGATGTCCTGGAATGCCTCTTTCTGAGACAAGTGCCAGGTTTAAATACAGGACAGACACACACACACACACACATATAGCACGCACACACACATAAAACCCACCATGCTAAAGAAAAAAAAATGGTTCCATGTGCAAAGCTCAAAAGTGGCAAAGAAAGCAGAAGGTGATAATAATCAGGTCGAATGTGGGCATTGACTGGGCATTCCTGCATCTCTCAGCTCTCTAAGAGCCTGCCTGTGCGTCTGTGTGTTCGCATGTGTTCCTCAGCCCTTTAAAACACAGATCAAAGAACCAGCCTTTATTTCACTGTGCAGATGTTCCCAGAGAATCGAAAGAAAAGGTGGGGGGTGGGGGAGAAAGAAGAAAAGCCTGTGTCGGCGCTGAATATGTCTCAGTTAGATATTTTCAGCCGCTCTTCAAGCATAGGCCAGGGTAATTTTAGCAACCCGCGAGTGGAGAGCGGGTAACTGTTCCATTTTGCTTTCAGAGTGCTCAATTCGCTCAATTGTGAGAGCCCATTCATTCTGCAGTTCAGCAAGTGGCCTTGAGGGGACAAAGCCACGTGCTCTGAAGAGGAGCAGAGGCTTTGTGGCAGTGTTTGTGGAGTCCCCTGGGCTGTGTGGGGCTCGGTGACTATGGTGTCTTCCTGTGGTTGAGGTTTTTGTCGCCGCTGTGGTTCTGACCCTTCTCTAATTGACTTATTTCTGTCGCCAGTGAATATCTTTCGGGTGCCAGCCCCATGCTAGGCACCCAGAACCCATGAATGAACGAAACGGTGTGGTCCTTCCCCCATAGATACCATAGTTTTGATGGAATACACAGGCAGTATCAGCATTTTCGGGCTTCCCAGGTGGCACTAGTGGTAAAGAATCCGCCTGCCACTGCAGGAAATCGAGAGACACGGATTCAATCCCTGGGTCAGGAAGATTCCCTGGAGAAGGAAATGGCAACCCACTCCAATCTTCTTGCCTGGAGAATCCTACTGACAGAGGAGCTTGGCGGGCTACAGTCCATAGAGTTGCAAAGGGTCAGACACGACTGAAGCGACTTAGTATGCATGCATGCCAGCATTTTCACGGGAAAGTCCGCAGCCCTGGGAGCCCTGGTGAGGGATCCCCTGCAGAAACTTGCGGACTCTGGGGTGGCATGATGGAGTCCCACCAGGGAGGCTGCACCACCGGCCTGTCCACCTGAGGAGTGCCTGAGGGCTCCGGCCACAGTGTGGCTTAAGGCACTCTTCTCCTGGGCGCCACCCTGTTGGCTTTATTCTTGCAGCTGGGCAAACCTGTCTGATCCCAAATCTGGCAAATATAGATTCTTAGATCAGCTCCAACGCCCGTTTAAAGGGCTGTTCCATCTTTCTAGGCCAGCAGTCCCCAGGCTGTGTTCCAAAGAGAGCTCCAAGTCAGAGAAGCCTTTCAGGGTTGTCCCGGGAGGGGACAGCCAAGCCAGCAGCGCTTCCAACTGAAGTCCTGCTGGGGTTCCAGGACAGTTTTGTTTGAAAAGACAAAGGGACTACCCGTGTCCATTGATGGATGAATGGATCGCAAAATAGGGTTTGTACATACAATGGATGTCTTCCCTGCTGGCTCCGCGGTAAAGAATCCGCCTGCCAGTGCTTGAGAACAGTTTGATCCCTGGGTCAGGAAGATCCCCTGGAGAAGGAAATGGCAACCCACTCCAGTATTCTTGCCTAGAAAATCCCATGGACAGAGGAGCCTGGCAGACTACGGTCCATGGACTTGCAAAGAGCTGGACACTACTGAGCAACTAAACAACAATACAGTGGATATTACTCAACCTTACAAAGGAAGGGAAGTGTGACACCTGGTATGACATAGGTGAACCTTACGCTGGTGAAATAAGGCAGACACAGGTAGACAAATACTGTCTGATTCCACTTAGGCAAGGTACCTAGAGACATCAGATTCACAGAAAGTATAATGGTGGGTGCCAGGGGCTGGGGAGTTAGTGTTCAAATGGGGACAGAGTTGGGGAGGATGAGAAAGTTCTGGAGACAGATGGTGCAGATGGTTGCACAGCAGTGTAAATGAACTTGATGCTACTGAGCTGTGCACTTAAAACCGGTTAAAACAATAAATTTTATGTTATGTCTATTTTACCACAATAGAAATTCAAAGATAAAGGGACTGAAGGTTTAAGAAGTAAGGAAGATGATCACAGATTTGGACCAAAGCTCCCAGATTACAAAGGGATTGCCTGCAGCCCTGAGGGTGCCCCGCCCAGGGTCACTCAGAGTCAGATCCCAGCTGCCCTGGACCCGGGTGGACAGGTACCAGGTCCAGTGCTCACTCACAGATGTCCGGCTTGTAACCTCGGGCAGACAGGAGCTGCAGTACCTCCGTCCTCATGGAGTGCGTGGGAAGGCACTTGCCCACCACGCTGCGCCTGGTGGTGCCTGGAGGGGTGGGACTTCCGCCGCTGCCGCAGCCCCCCCACCCCCAGCAGCTGACCCATGTTTCTGTTGCAGATCGCATCTCTGCTCAAGGACAATGAGCGCATCCAGTCCACCCAGACCGTCACCCCCAACGACGAAGACAGTGACATCAAAAAAATCAAGAAGGTCTGTACCGTCCCTCAGGGCTGGCAAAGCTGCCTCGGTCCTCTTTAGAGAGCCCCACCCCCAGCACAGCCCCGTGTCCACAGTGTCCCCCTGCTGTCCCCCTGCCCCCACTGTGTCCTTCCACTTCCACTCCAAAGGCAGAACCAATAGCCCCTCGCCTCTGACCGGCACCTCATCGAGCCATTTCTTCGGGCTGTCTCTGTGAGGTAGGGTGGTTCAGCCCATTTGATAGATAAGAAAACCCAGGCCCCAAAAGATGAAAGAGTGGATTGAGCCAGGGCAGGAACCCCGGCTATGAGACTCATAGCTGAGAGCTTTCCTCACGACTCTGGGCAGCCTCAGTGAGACCCCAGGCCGCTCTTTCATCCCCCCAACCTTGCATGCCTGCCCACCCCCCCTCACCCCAGCCACTGTCCTGCAAACACTGCCTCTCCCAACTGTACCCTTTGGTGCCCAGCAGAGGTCAGCATGGCAGCTGACCTCTGTGACACACCAGGGTTGGCCCAGCTGGTTTTACTCTGTTGGAGTCCAGGAGGGGTGGACATCTCAGGAGGTACCAGAAAGCTGCCCAGTGGCAGGGATACTGACCAGCACCGTGGGCCACCCTGTGGAGGGGAAGAACATGGTCTGTGTTTGCAGCTGGCCAGACTTGAAGCAAGGGAGCCTGACTCACCCTAAGAAAAACAAGCGAAACCAGAAAACCCTCCTTGTTAAGAGCATAAAAGGACCCCAGCACCATCCAGAACAGAAGCTGCAAACCGGCTTCCCACAGGCCAAGTTCAGCCTCCCAACGTGTTTGGGGTTTTTAGCCCATACGGTGTTTTTTTCCCCCCTTTTTAATGTGTCGCCAGTGCTATAAACGCTAAACATTTCACATTAAAAAAAAAAGTCTTTATTTCTGGTTTCTCAGAAATAGAAAAAGCTAACATCCATTACGCACTTTCTATGTGCCAGACACTATTCTAGGAGATGTATGCAGATTAATCTCTTCCGAACTGAGAGCCCTCTGGAGTTTGATTATTATCTGCATTTCACAGATGAGGATAGAGAAGCCCATAAGGGCAAAACGACTTGCTCAGGGCACACAGCCAGGTATTGACAAAGTGACATTTAAACTCCAGTCGCTGAGCTCCAAAGCCCACATCCTCAGTCACTGGGACACACCGTCTCTTGGAAAAGCAGGAGGTCTCGCAGCCCCAGGCCCACCTCCTGCACACAATGTCTGCTGGCTCTAGGCCAGGTGCCTGCCCACCTATGATCCATAGGACCCCCTGGTACCCCATGGACATTGGGACTTGCCACCAGAGGTCTGAACCAAGCCCTACCCACATAGGGATGTGAGACCTGCCTTCTCTTCCATGGCCCCACTGGACTTCCTGGCCCATTTTGAAAGCCATTCTGGTGGGAACACTTGGTTAAGTCCCAGCTGAAATGCACTGTCCTCCTTTTATTGTCACCCTCCTGGGGCCTCTGTGCAAGCCCTTCCCACTTTATCCAGAGAGGCTTCCTATCTTCAGAGAGAGCTACTGTGACAAGGTCAGACTGCTCCTCCCCAGGGCAGTCGGCCCTGGCCATAGGTCTGCACTCAGAAGGCCACACTTGCTGTTCATGATGAGTGCCCTTTTCAGCTGATAGTGTCTTGATGAGCACCTCAACAGGCATCCGCTGGATCCCAGGATCCCCTCTCCGACCCAACACCACGCAGCACCCTTGTTCCTGGGGCCCTGGTCCCTCCCTGTGCAGCCCCTAAGCTTGCCCACAACTCAGCAGCAGAAATGGTGAGGAGCCTTGATTGGAAGCATACAGATCTTCACACAGTCCTCTGAGTCTGGGAATCAAGGCCCTTCCCAAGTTATCACCAAAATGAGGCCAAGCCAAGCAGCCCAACTCAAGTGACCATGTTCATTTCTCCCCGCAGAGGCAGGGGAGAGCCTCTGGCGGTGGCCAGTGAGGTCCAAGCATGAGATGAATGCATCTGCCATGTTCAGTTCAATGTGATAATCGCCCTCTGACCAGACAAGCTTAAATGGAAACTTCTGGGCTCTCAGACCAGTCATTAGATGAGAAGTGTGAGCTCCACCCAGCACAGCCTGGCAGCTCTCTCTTCTCGTGGCCCCTCCCATGGTGGGGACTTGGAGCCGCATTTTCCCTCTGTCTGGGGATGCTACCAGAGCAACCTAGGGGACCTGGTTTGAACACAGAGGTCTGGGGTGGGGCCTGGGGTTGGCATTTCTAACAGAATCTCAGGAGATGCAGCATAGGCTGATGGGTGGCTCTCCCACCGGTCTCGGCGCCCAGGTGCAGAGCTTCCTGCGGGGCTGGCTGTGCCGGCGCAAGTGGAAGACCATCATCCAGGACTACATCCGGTCGCCGCACGCGGACAGCATGCGCAAAAGGAACCAGGTTGTGTTCAGCATGCTGGAGGCCGAGGCCGAGTACGTGCAGCAGCTGCACATCCTGGTGAACAACTTCCTGCGCCCGCTGCGGATGGCCGCCAGCTCCAAGAAGCCCCCCATCACGCACGACGACGTCAGCAGCATCTTCCTGAACAGGTGAGCACCTGAACCTCAGTCCCTACCTGCACCCACCCCCACCCCCACCACCACTGCTGCCTCGGAGCGCTTGGCCAAGGTGGGAGGAGGGAGCCTGGCCAGCAATGAACTTGACCACAAGCTCTCCTCTAGTTCCCGCCAAGTGTGGAGGAGGAAACCGAGCCCAGAGAGGAAGGCGGCCACCCGAGGTCTCAGGCCTAGAAGCCAGTGTTCTGACACTGATACAGATAGGATACAGATATCTGGCAGGATACAGATAGAGGCCCACAGAGTAGATGTCTGAACTCGGGGGTTCAGCTGGGGCAATGTCGGGAGACGTTTTTGATTGTCAGAACTTGGTGAGGGGGTTAGGGGGAGAGTTTGAAAGTAGCATCTAGTGGGTAGAGGTCAGAGATGATGCTTAACATCCTACAGTGCACAGAGCAGTACCCCCCCCCCCAACCCCAGCAAAGAATTATTCCACCAGAAATAATCGTGCCAGTATCCTGGTGGTCCAGTGGTTAAGACGCCAAGCTCCTACTGCAGGGGTGCAGGTTTGATCCCCAGTCAGGGAGCTAAGATCCTATGCACCAGAAAAAAATCAATCAATAAAAATAATCAAGCCAAGGTTGAGAAACCCTGGATTAAATGTTTACTGTATTGAGGGGCGGGTTCATTACCACTGGCACCACGTGAGACGAGTTGAATTACATGTTTACAAATTATCAATCAAGCTACAAAAAACCAAGCGTGTTCCATCCCTCTACCTTAATATCATCATCATAATGATCAAGAAACAGGCCTAAATTTTTAGAATTCTCAGGCTCATTAGAGTTCAGCTCTGTACCATGTTACCCACACACCATATGAAAGTGGTTACTTGTCCCAAATGGTGACCCTGGGCATTTGTGTGGGTTTGACAGTGCCTCAAAGGCTGAGCTGACAGTTGCCCTTCTGCTGTCCACCTCTTTTGAAAAGGAAAGTCTTAAGAAGTGGTTTAAAAGAGCTTTGTGGTAGCCAATAAAATGGAGTAAACTAGGTAAAAGCAACAAACATAAAAACATCAACAGAGTGCTATTTACAAACGATTCTCATCTAGGAATTAAAGTAAATCATATGTGCTTCAGGTTATTCATTCAGCTGCACTTCCTTTAGCATAGTCAATGTTCAGTCACTAGTTCACTAGTTCCAACTGCCTCATCCAGGTATTATGCAGAGATGTTTGGGAGACCCGGGATCACCTCCCCTGGGCCCTGCTCTGCCCCTTTACCTGCCAGGGTGCTGTAGCAAGTTTAAGGACTTGTGTGTTACCCGGGAGGAGATGGGGGAGCCAGTGGACACGGGTCTGATTCTGAGGGGTTGAGCTGAGATGCTGAAGGTGGCTGGGAGAAGGACCAGGCTGACATCATGGATGTGGAGGAGATGTCAGAGTACAGGGACATGGTGGAGGTGGAAGCAGAGGAGAGGAGCAGCTTCTAGTCTCAGAAAACCTTGTAGAAACTGAATCACTGGGCCTTACAAAGTTGCTTTATTTTAATGTATTTATTTGGCGGTGCCAGGTCTTAGTTGCAGTATGCGGGATCTTCCTTGTGACATTCAGGCTCCTAGTTGCAGCAAGTGGGCTCTAATTCCCCAACCAGGGATCCAACCCGGGCCCCTGAATTGGGAGTGCAAAGTCTTAGCCACTGGACCAGTTGGGAAGTCCTGAGCGTGACTGCCTTCTTATCATTCACACCTCACTACATGATCCACTGTGTGCATAGGACAGTATAAGGGTCACTGTCTTAAACACTTTGCTTTTTGTGAGCAGAGACCAGCTTAATTGATTTTTTCTTTAAAAAATAGCAGCACTGCACAGCTTCTGTGCATGACTGAATGTTCTGGACTGCCCTCACCTCATTAAGCTTTGCAGGGCCAGCTTCATGCCAGGCTTTCTGAGCACTTGGCCCGAGTGATTTCCAATCCTGGGAGATGCCCCATCAGGCTGGCACCAGAGCTCAGAGAGGTGATGGATGGGATGAGCTCGGGGTTCTGGTGGGCTGTGATTTTAATCCAGTTCCGTTTTACATCAAGGCCTCTGCTTACCCCTGCTGCCCTATTAAATGATGGGCTGGATCTTCGCTTACCCCCATCCTCCTTTTCCCCAAGGCGTGCTCATCACACCCTGGGTCTTGGAACACACTGCCCCCACCCACTTCTGCGCTATTGAGAACTTTCTGTTGTGGGTGAGCCCAGACTCCCCTCTTGCTGGCGAAGTGCCTCCCCTCTTTCTGGGTAAGTGCTGTGAATCTCTGGGGTCTCCCTGCCTTGGACCACAGCACAGAGGTCTGTGTGTACCACAGGCCAAGGGCAGAGGCTGCCAGCCCACTCACTAGAAGGCATTTCTACATGTGACTTCCCCCTGGGTTTGCTTTTAGACCAAAATGAATTCAGTGATTCAGCCACACTAGAAACCTGATGCTACTTTGGTGATTTCATTTGCTGGAGCTCCTTAAAAGAAGTCCTTGAGAAGAAAGAGGCCTCTCTCCAGGCTGGCAGATTCCTGGAGGGTGCTACGGAGCTGGGGAGGGGGTTAATTGTGTTTCTACAATAGTGGAGGGTGGAGGGGAGGGGAGGAGCAATCTTGGAAGTAAACACCTGCAGCAGGTTTTGTTTACCCAAGACAATGAGCGCAGAGACTTGGACTGTTTCCCTTTAATAAAAACATTGCCCGGCGACATGTGCTGGGAACCACAGGCATGGCCCCGTGATGAGAGCATCCCGCCCGGGTGACAGATGGTTGGTACCTTGATGCCGCTCTGATTGATCAGCGGTGGCTGGGAGTCCCGGGCTGAGAAGGATGGTGAGGCTCCGTTGGGGAGTATGCTGCCATCCATTCATCATGTCTGCATGGGCTGGGGAGTGAGGAGGGACAGGTAGAGGGCAGGGCAAGTGTGAAGAGGCCTGGTTCTGCCGTCCTCCTCCGGCCCAGCCCTGTAGATCTGAGAACGGCTTGGGTAAGTCACACTCTTTTCTGGGCTCAAGAAGGGGACCAGAAAAAAATGAGTGCTTCTCAAGTAGACAGGTCGCTTCCTCTCCCGCGAATTCTCCCCACCCTACTGTCCTCCCTGTTTTCCTTATGACAACTCTCTCCTACTCTTCCTTTATGTTTTTCTTGGCTGTCTCCGACCACCCCATGCCCCTTGTCGCCATTGGCGTCTCTTCCCTGGTTGTGTGCTTCCAGGGCCCCCTTTTGTAGCATTCATCACACTTAAACAATGGTTTCTTTTGTGTAGATTCCCTGCTGCACTCTAAGTGAGCTGTGGGGAGGGATACGGCCGGAGAATACAGTTGCCCTAGCTGTGCACTGCACAATTCAGGGACAGCATTCACATAAACTAGGTCTCAGCAGAGTTCTGTCAAGGACCAGATGGTAAATATTTTAGATCTTGAGGGCCAGAGGGCTCTGTCAGAGGCAGGTGGACTTAGGCAATCCTAATGATTGGTTGAATGAGTGCGGCTATGTTACAGTAAATCTTTACTGATGGATGCTAAAATGGTAATTCTATGTAATTTTTACTTACCATAAAATACATTTTTTATTTTTTTCAACCATTTAAAATTATAAAAGTCCTTCTAAACGTGCAGGCTGTACAAAAACAGAAAGTGGGCCGGCATTCTGAATGGCAAGATTCCATGTCATAAGTATGTCATTTCACCCAAAACATGCTATGAAGTTAATATAATTGCAATTGAAGTTCAGCCTAGCAGAGTGATTTTAAAGTCCATCTGAAGGAATAAATACATGTAAATTGATATCTCTTCCCATGTGGACGACTGAAGCTCTTCAGATTGGCACAGTGCCTATTTATCTGTTCAATAACTAGTTCAGGGGCCATGGACAGGCAGAACCAGCCTGATCACAGGTGCATCTGTTGCAGACTCGCTGCCTGAAAACTGAAGATGACTTCAGCCATCAAAGGGGAACCCTAGTCCAGAAATCACCGTGTCACCACCCCTAGAGGCCTGTTCTCTTGGGACTTTAGGGAAATGATAATTAATTCATGGTAATGACTGAACCACACTCAGGAATGAGAACTCGGAATGTTTCCACCGACTTTGTTGTTCAGTAGCTCGGTTGTGTCCGACTCTTTATGACCCCCATGTACTGCAGCACGCCAGGCTTCCCTACCCTCTACTATCTCCAGGAACTTGCTCAAACTCATGTCCATTGAGTCAGTGATACCATCCAATCATCTCATCCTCTATCATCCACTTCTACTTTTGCCTTCAATCTTTCCCAGCATCAGGATCTTTTCCAATGATACCTGTTAAAGGCCCCCTGGCCCCAGCCCTTCCCTTCTGAACGTCCTGGGGGTGTGATCAGTACAGACTTTGCCCTGCAGTGCCCAGGCACTGTGTTCTGTTCTCTTACCACCACCACCACCCCACCTCTCAGCTCCCTTCTCCCTCTTTCTCTTGCAGTCTTTCCCTCTTTTCTTTCTCTCTTCACACAGTATGTTTTCTCTGCAGAGTGGGGGTGCTCAGGGCATTCCAAACCCATCTGGGGTCCAGGAGCCCCGTGCCTCTCAGGCCTTCCGTGCACGTGAGGTCCAGGCCCCTCACTGGCCTCCTGTGCCTCGCAGCCCAGGGGCGCCCACCCAGCGCCTTCCACCCTTTGCTCTTGTCCTGAGAATGAGACCTCACGGTGGTGGGGGTTTGCCTTCAGGGCACAGACTGCTGGGAGAACGGACAGCACCCCAAGCTGGAAAACACCAGGGCCTCAGCGACCACCCAGGGCACTGGGAGAGCCTGGGCGATGGAGTCGAGAGTGTAGCCATGGAGGGGTGGTGATACGGCAGAGAAAGACAGAATGTTCCAGGAAGAGGGGAAGACAGGGCCCAGAGCCCAGAGCCCCAACTTGTGGGAGCTCACTCTTCCTCTATGGGCCTCAGTTTCCCTTTCCATGAGTGGAGCGCGCATTAAAAAAAGAATTTTTTGGCTGCGCCACAGGTGGAATCTAGTTCCCTGACCAGGGATTGAACCCCGTGCCCCCTGCTTTGGAAGCACAGAGCCTTAACCACTGGACCACCAGGGACAAGTCCCCACACTTCGGCATATTTGGTTCTTTTGGCTTCCCCTGTGATCCAAAGCAAGCCCAGACATGCTGGGGAGACCCCCAGGTCTTCAGGGTGTAGGAGCCAGGATGATGAGCAGGAGCAAGGGAAGAACAGGAGGAGGGGGGCCCTGCAGGATGGAGCAGAAATTGGCCCATCTCGTGGGTTCTCTGCGTTCTCACAGATTGGCTCTTCTCTAGAGCCAGCCACTTGGGGAGCAGTGGGCAGACAAGAGGGTGTGGGAGGGGGGCCATGGCAAATGTGGCTGCCTGGGGAATGTTCTGAGGCCTAATGAGAGTATGTGCACCCCCAGCATTCCAGGTAATGACAAAGCAGGCACTTTAGAGACTCTGGGTTTCTGTCCTTTCCTCAGTGTTGTTTTTTTTCTCCCTTTTCTAACCTTTACTCAAAAAGGGGCTGGTGGAGAGCTAGCATTTGCTGAGCATCACTCATCTCACTCAGAAGAACCACATTTCACCTCCGTTTTCCATGGAAGGACCTGTGGTTCAGAAATGTTAGGCACCTTGCTCAGGGTCACACAGCTGGGAACGGGCAAAAGGCAGCAGATCTGACCCTCCATCTGTGTGGGTCTCAAGCCCTAGCTCCTGTCATGTCCTCACGACATGAGGACTTTTCCTCTGAGTTCTTCAGAGCCCCAGGTTCCTCCAGGATCCCTCAGGAGCACCCCGAGCCAGCAGGGACTCGAGGGAGCTAGGGGAGCCAGCAGCCAGAGCACTACCCTTCTCGGCCAGCTTGACTGGCATCTGATTGCATGCTGAGAAGAGCCCTTCTGCACTGTACGCTCTGCCGTCACCATCCTGAAATACACTTCATTTTTTTCTTAATTAATTAATTTCTTTTTCAGCTGTGGTGGGTCTTCTTGCTGTACACAGGCTTTCTCTAGTTGCCATCAGTGGGGGCTACTCTTCATTGAGGGTCACAGGCTTCTCGTTGCAGTGGCTTCTCTTGTGCAGCATTTTTGTCCTTGCAGAATGTACCAGAAGGGCCCTTTAAAAACTCCCAGGAACCCTCAGAGGGCTCAGAGGAGGAAAGACAAATTGGCAAAAGCTACATTTCTGGGAGGAAGTGATATATTTTTAGTTTATCTGTTTTTCCCTTTTAAAAATAAAATATATGTACCCATTTGAGAAAATTCGAGAATCCAGAAAAGTAGGAAATGGTTAAAAATATCAGCCATAGTTCTGCTTCCCAAAGATAACTACTGTAAACACTTGGGTTTGTTTCCTTCCAATTTTTTTTTCTATGCATAGATCTTGGTGTGTTTTTTTTTCCCATTTTACATAATTGCAAACACACTGAATATAGAATTTGAATCTTACTGTGGGTTCTTTTTTTACTTAACATTATTGCATAAGCGTTTTCTCAAGCTAAAGCACACTTTTTGATGACTGTGTAGTGCTCCAGGGCCCTGTGAATCTGCCACCATCTATGTAGACATCTCCCCCTTCTTGGCTCTTAAAGATGTTCTGCCTTTTTGCTGTTACTAGAAACAATAATGTCTACACATGAGGTGGTCTCCATATTAGAGAGAAGTTCCCTGAGATAGGTGTCCAGAGGCTGAATGGCTGAAACAAGGGGGGTGGACTCCCCGCTCTGTACCGACCATCACATTTCTCTCCAAGTCCTCACTCCTGAGAGTGATGTATAGGGGTACCTCTCGCTTCTAGTCTCTCCCACCCTGGGTAGCATCTTCTTTCCACCTAATTCAACAGGAAAAGGTGAGTGTTGTGTCACTTCTGCTGTGAAGTCAAGGGAAAAGGCTCAGGAAGGTGAAGGAACTGCTAAGAGAGGAGAGGCTCCCCTGCCCACAGGCCAGGAGACTTCCACGGGGAGTGAGCGCTATTTCTGTTTTTCTCAGGTCAAAGAGACCTGTTTTATCCAAGATCAAAAGAGGAAGCCGGTGACTCAGTGGTAAAGAACAGGCCTGCCAATGCAGGAGACATAAGAGCCGTGGTTTGATCCTTGGGTCAGGAAGATCCCCTGCAAGAGGAAATAACAACCTGCTCCTATATTCTTGCCTAAAAAACTCCATGGACAGAGGAGCCTGGCAGGCTACAGCCCATAGGGTCACAAAGAGTTGGACATGACTTAACGACTAAGCAAACACACACACACATACACTAGAAAGAAGAAAAAGGCTGTACTTTCTGTCCTCATAGGATTGATAAGGTGATCCATTGGGTAGGTGGATGCCTTGCGTGAGAGCTCCCACTTAAGAGTTTGTTACAAGGAAATTTTTTCCTTTTATTGAAGTATAGTTAACTTACAATGTTGTGTTCATTTCAGCTGTACAGCAAAGTGATTCATTTATATCTATATATGTTCTTTTTGTAATATTCTTTTCCTTTATGGTTATTATGAGTTATTGAATATAGTTCCTGGTGCTATACACTGGATGTGTGCGTGCTCAGTCATGTCCAGCTCTTTGCAACCCCATAGACTGTAGCCCTCCAGGCTCCTCTGTCTGTGGGATTTTCCCAAGAAGAATACTGGAGTGGGTAGCCATTTCCTCCTCCAGGGGATCTTCCCTACTCAGGGATCAAACCTGCGTCTCCTATGTCTCCTGCCATAGCAGGCAGCTTGTTTACCACTGAGCCACCAGGGAAGCCCTGTGCTATACAGTAGGACCTTCTCATTTATCCGTTCTATATGTAAAAACTTACAAATGCTAAACCCAAGCTCCCACTCCATCCATCCCCCATCCCCCTCTCTCTTGGCAACCACAAATCTGTTCCCTAAGTCTGTGAGTCTGTTTCTGTTTTGTAGAGTTTGTGTCATATTTAGATTCCACATATAAGTGATATCATATGGAGTTTGTCTTTCTCTGTTTGACTTACTTCACTTAGTATAATCATCACTAGCCGCATGGTCTTGCTCTTTAACGGGGTTAGTAAGCAGATGTTTTAGAACAATGGTCCCCAACCTTTTGGGTACCAGGGACTGATTTCATAGAAGACGGTTTTTCCACGGACCAGGGTTAGGGGGATGGTTTCAAGATGTTTCAAGCATAGTACATTTATTGTGCACTTTATTTCTAATCTAACGCTGCTGTTGATCTGACAGGAGGTACTGGCCTGGAGGTGGGGGGACTTCTGTTTTAAAGGCTCCATCCCATCCCATCAAGTGTTGAAGGGCAGGTCTGGGCTTTCGAGAGCTGGAAGGACAGGATGCTAGACACCCAAGAGGTTGAGACTGACGGGCCAGCAGGGGCTGCAGAGCTGGGAGGGGGACAGGGGACCCACATGTGAGGGAACAGAGACTCAGGAAAGCATGTCGTGGGGTGGAAAGCCCTGGAACCAAGGAGTCAGGAAACCTGGTTCCAAGCCAGCTGCTGACTCACCTTGTGGCCTCTGACAGGTCCCAGTCACAGATGGGACACTCTGGGAGGGAAGCCCCCTGGAGGGAGGAGGGCACTGGGGTGATGTAATTACGACAGAGGCCAGGGGCAACCCCACAGGCACTCTGAGACCCAGGTGGCCCCGCAGAGAGGGGCACTGACTGGCCCAAGGGGCTGGTCATTGAGGCAGGGGCCGGCCTTCACACCCCCCTCCTGGACTGTCATGGGCCCAGCTTGTGCAGGGCAGCTTCCTTCAGCAGAGAGCAGTTCCCACGCAGGGAGGACCCAGCTGACAGCCAGGGGAGAAGCACCTGTGTCCTAAAAGGGGCCCAGGGGCCACCCCACAGCACCCTCCACACCTGCTTTCCCTGGCCCTCTAGGTGTCAGACTAGATAGGGCTCCATCTCAAAATCGTGTGGTTCTGATGTGATTGATCCCGGTGCCTGGGGCCTCCCTGTCTCTCCTAGGACAGGGCGGTGGGGCCAGGGTCAGCTCCGAAGGCAGGGTTTTCTCTGGGCAGGGCTGGGGAAGCCGAGGGCCTGGGGGAGGGCGTCGGCCCCTCACCCCCCACCTAGGGCACCCCCGCTGCCCGCTGAGCCCCGCCTCCTTGCAGCCGACCTGTTCGACATCCTGCTGCCCATGCTCAACATCTACCAGGAGTTCGTGCGCAACCACCAGTACAGCCTGCAGATCCTGGCGCACTGCAAGCAGAACCGTGACTTCGACAAGCTACTCAAGCACTATGAGGCCAAGCCCGACTGCGAGGAGAGGACGCTGGAGACCTTCCTCACCTACCCCATGTTCCAGGTGTGCCGCCCCACCTGCCGCCCTGCCAGGGCGCATGCGCACATGGGTGGCTGGGTGGTGGGGCCAGGAGGGGTGCGACCAGCAAAGAGCCAGGCCTGTGGGGCAGGGCAGGGGTGGGGGTGGAGGGGCTCATCCCACCCAAGACCCTGACTCCAAGTCTGAGATCGGGAGAGTCTGAGATTGGAAGTGCAATGGGGGTCCTTGGTGCTAAGAACCCTTGTCTCTGCGCCCCCATCCCTTCCCGGGCTCTGTCTCTGCCCTGTATCATTTCATCGCCACCTCTCTCCTGCCTCACCTCCCCGCCCCCGCAGATCCCCAGATACATCCTGACACTGCACGAGCTCCTGGCACACACCCCTCATGAGCACGTGGAGCGCAACAGCCTGGACTATGCCAAGTCCAAACTGGAAGAGCTGTCCAGGTAAGCCCAGCAGCGGGTCCCCACACCAGGGAACCCAGGTCCCCACATCACAGGGCAGGCCCAGGCTTGAGGGTGCCCCCACTGGGAGTTCGCTGAGCCCAAATGGCCAAAACTCATGTTTCTGGTTAAGATTGCAAGGGATGGGGATCCATAGCCTGTCCCACCTGGAGGCAGAATCCCCAGGAGCAGTCTGAGGGGTTTACAGCTCCAGTCCAGGTGGGCACCGGCAAGATGGGATGGGTGGCTTGCTGTCCCTGGCATAGGTGGGGCCCAGCAAGGGCCTGGGTGGTCACTGGGCCCATCTCCAGGACTCGCAGACACTCTTTGCCCATTTCCTCGGTTCTCCAGCATCAATGTGTCAATGCTTGTGGCTTTAGGAGCTCCATGGGGTCCCGAGTGTTGGGCCCTCTTGTATCCCAGGCTCTGTTCAGCAGTAGGCAGTGTCCATGAGTGGACAGGCCATGGGTGGGCCATTGTCAGAGGCCGAAGCCCCATAGTCAGGGCCTCCCCTGCTCTCCCTCAGTCCCTGGAGCACAGTCTCTGCCCAGGCAGGAGCAGAGGGACCAGGGAGGAGGGCTGCCACACCCAGGTGGTGGGGAGGGGGGTTCCCCATCTGTGGGGGCGGGGGCGGCATGGAGGGGAGGAGCTTCAGACTCCAGTGTTTCCTGAAAATGGAACCCACTAGAGTTTCTGATGGATGAGGTAAGAGGACAGAGAGAGAATATAGGAGTCGAAAGGGAGTCTGAGCCTGAGCAGCCTCAAGGATGGCACCGCCACGATGCAAGGTGTAGAAACCGCTGGAGGGGCAGGTTTGAAGGGGTCTTCTTCGCTTCATGGGAGCTCTCTTAGGGGTGTGTTGGGCCTGAGATGGACGACAGCAGTGGAGATGACAAGGAGGGAGAGTCGGTGTTTGACTCTGGAGTTTAGGGAGGAGAGAACAGGTCATCAGCTCAGACATGGTATTTAAAGTCACCAGCTGGGACTTCCCTGGCGGTCCAGAGATTAAGACTCTGCACTTCCACTGTAGGAGGTGTGGGTTTGATCCCTAGTCAGGGAACTAAGATCCCACATACCACATGGTGCAGCCAGAACTTTTTTTAAAAAGTCACAAGATTGATGAGATCACCAAGGGAGTGAGTTTAAGCAGGAATGAGGTATGAACCAAAGGTTGAGCCCTGGGGCGTCCACCAGCGGAGGCCAAGAGGTGAGGAGGGGCCTTATGGTCAGAGATGGATGGGTCTGCACGGTGTGGGGCTCAGCCACCAGCCCTACTGGAGCCCCGCCCACCACCTGGAGCCCTCAACAGCTTCCCGAGTTCAACGAGTGGAACTTGTTGGGCAGCTGGGCAGAGGGAGGACCAGTCTGGCCTGGGGCAGGGCCCAGACCTCACAGTGAAGAATTCGGGAGAAGGTGTAAACAGGGTGTGACTGCAGACTAACAGAACCATTGTGGGGTGTGGACCCCAGTTCTCTCAGGCCCCAGGGAGTCAGTACAGTGTACTCTTCCCCGGGGAGAAGATGTGGACCCGCCCTCCCCGTGAGTTCCTGGACCCTGCGGGATGCCCTGTCCCAGTGCAGGCAGGGGTACAGGAGGCACGTGGGTGCCAGGGAACTTTGCCCAAAACCCCTGTCCCCTCTCCCCCCTGGTGCTGGGTGTACAGACTGCTCTTCCTTTGTCCCCCCGCCCATCACCTACACCTGGTCCTGAGCCCAGCCTGAGCAGCACAGAAGAGGGTTTTCCCATGTGACAGCAGCCCTTTCATCCTCTTCCAACCTTCCCTGGGGCCTGAGGAAAGCTGCAGCTGACTAGAAGCCAGAAGATAACCAGCCCCTCCCTGGCCAGCCTCAGAGCCCTGCACCCCTCACCTCTGGGGGCCTTTGTCCCACTTCCTCTCCTGAACCCCTCACTCCTAGGCTCCAGGATAACCCAGGTCATCACTTCCAGTTCCCCAGGAGCCTCAGGCCCTGGAAATTCCAGGCCGCCTTCCCAGAGTCCCCCAGCTTCCTTAACCTAGGCTCCCCCATCGCAGACTGCAGCCTGGGTCTGCCGTTTACCCTGAGCCACTGCAGTTTACACACGTCTAACAGCCATCCCCAGATGGCTCAGGGGTAAAGAGCCCACCTGCCAGGGCCAGAGACATAGGAGACCTGAGTTCAATCCCGGGGTCCAGAGGATGCTGGCTGGCTGTAGTTCACAGGGTCCCAAAGAGTCAGACACAACTTGGCAACTAAACAACAAAGATTTTTTTTTTTTTATGTGGACCATTTTTTTAAGTCTTTATTGAGTTTGTTACACCTTGCTTCTGTTTTATGTTTGGGTTTTTTATGCTGAGTCTTACAGCACCTGGGACCTTAGCTCCCTGACCAGGGATCAAACCTGCTACTCCTGCATTGGATTGTGAAATTTCAGCCATGGGACCGCCAGGGAGTCCACCCCCTCATTTTGAGCACCTCTAGCCTCTTCAACCAATCTCTCACTCTCTGCAAGAGAGTCTGATTGCCTTGGGCTGCTACCAAAAGTGAAGTACTTTTGGAGGCTGGAGGAAGGATGGCTACTTCCATCCACAGAACTACCTGAAAGGTCCCTCCCTGGCCCATGCCCGTGTGTTTTCCTGAAGAAGGCTAAGGCCTGGAAAGAGAAGAGCATTGCTGGGAAGGTGGGGGTGGGATGAATAGAAAACCAAAGCTTCTAAGGCAGAGACCTCATCTCGATGCCCCAGTCTGATAGCCTGCAAAAATGACAAGTTATCGTGTATCACCTTTTTTTAACAATAACATTTTCACAGCCCTGATAAGGGCAGTGGTCACCACCTTTTATTTAAGCACCTGTCATTGCATGAGGTCAGCCCATGCAATGCATTATTTTCCATCCTCACCCCAACAGTTACAAATGGGAAGCTAAGTATTCGAGGGGTTGAGTAATGCGTTCAGCATCAATCACGCTGATTCCCCTGTTCACAGCTCCAGCTCCACCCATGTCATCTCTCATTGTTACAGGGTTTGAATTGGATCATGTCTACAAGAGAACTCTGTTAACCACTGAATATTCGTCAGCTCTCTGAGTGGTCTTACTTGTGGAATTTCAGGCATCAACAAAGAGGAGACTTTGTGCTTTCCTTAGAGTAGGTGGGGTACTTTTCCAGACCTCCTTCCAAAAATATATATATATTCACTACTTTCCTAAGACTTCTGGAAACACATGGACGGTCTTAGCAAAGTTGTTAAGTCACTCCTACCTTTTCCCACCAATGCTATTTTAAAAAGCAGTTATGTACTGCCACCTCATGGAGAGGAGCAGTGTTGCAGCAGTCAGAACCAGAACAGAAATTTGCAAGTGTTCTTAGATGAAGGGGCAAACTGTGTCTTGCTTAAACCTCCTAGTTGTGCTGGAGCCTATAGAAATAAACTGCAGTCAGTCTTTCCTTGAGCCAGCTGGATTTCCAGGTGCTCCAAAAATAAGTCATTCTGGAACCCAAACATTAAGGAAACAACCATATAAAGAGTGTGCAAGGAGGGAGAAGGAGGTGTGACAAACTGAGATAGTAGCATTGACATATACACACTAGCACATGTAAACTAGCTAGTGGGAAGCTGCTGAATAGCACATGGAGCTTAGCTCAGTGCTCTGTGGTAATCTAAAGGGTGGGTTGGGGCAGTGGGAGGAAGGATCTAGAGGGAAGGGACATATATATGTGTGTATAGCTGATTCAACTGAATATTACTACTGGAAAAACCATAGCTTTGACTATACAGACCTTTGTCAGCAAAGTGATGTCTTTGCTTTTTTTATACACTGTTTAGGTTGGCCATAGCTTTCCTTACAAGGAGCAAGTGTCTTAATTTCATGGCTGCAGTCACTGTCTCCAGTGATTTTGGAGCCCAAGAAAATAGTCTGTCACTGTTTCCACATTTTCCCCTTATATTTGGCATGACTCATTGGAAAAGACCCTGATGCTGAAAAGATTGAGGGCAGGAGAAGAAGGGGGCAACAGAGGATGAGACAGTTGGAAGGCATCATCAACTCGATGAACATGAGTTTGAGCAAACTCTGGGAGATAGAGGAGAACAGGGAAGCCTGGTGTTCTGCAGTCCATGGGGTCACAAAGAGTCACATACAACTGAGCGACTGAACAACAACAAATAGCTGATTCAGATTATTATATAGCTAAAGCGACTGTACTCCGATTTCAAATTCTAATTAATCTTTTTAAAAGAACATGCAGAGGGGAGAAACAAACACATTTCCCCGAGGCAGAAGTGAGCTTGGTTTGTTTTCTGGATGGAAATGAGGCCGGTGGTGGGGTAAGAGGCAGGTAATGAACAAAGAATGTCTTCTATACGCCCATCTTCCTCCCAGCTCTGCTGTCTCTCCTCCATTGGGTCAGACCATCTTCTCAGCCTCCCAGAGCTGTTGGAGAATTAGAGGAGCCCGCGCCTGTAAAGTGCACGCACACAGTGGGCTCTCTGTGCGTGTAGGCTCTCTCACCTTTGGTGACCACAGGTTCTATCTGAGAATCCAGGCTCTCTCCCCAGGTCCAGCCAGAGACCCGGCATTGCATCCTCCCTGGGAGGTGGGGGCCACTAGTCTCTGACTCTTCATCCTCACAGGATAATGCACGATGAAGTCAGTGAGACCGAGAACATCCGGAAAAACCTGGCCATTGAACGCATGATCATTGAAGGCTGCGAGATCCTTCTGGACACCAGCCAGACCTTTGTGAGACAAGGTATGGCCTCTCTACCCTGTGTCCCCCACCCAACCCTGGCCAGGTGGGCCCCCACAGCAGGAGGCAGGCCACACTCAGTGACACCACCAGTTGGCTCGGCTGCTGCGTGCCAAAGCCTGCTGGCATGACTGCGGCGTATTCCGGGCCTGCTGGGGGAAATGTGACAGCTATATGTAGACAGCGGTGTCTATACATATAGATGCTGATATTGTCAGTTTTCACAGTTTCCTTGTCTCTAGATGTAAACACAATTCTTCCCAGATGGCCTTGGTTTGTCTACTGTATACCATCGTAAACACCGACATGTCCTTTGAGGGAGAGAATACGGGGTGGAGGATGAGGCCAGGTTCTGACTGACCCCCTGAGTCGTGAGCAGTTGCAGTGTCCAAGGTGGCATTGACAAGGGTCAGTCCCTCTGTCCTGTACTCAGCCTCCTTGGCCTCTTGGGGAGGCCGTGATCACAGTGGTTCTGGGTGCGGTCCCCTCACTCTTGGGCTTCAGCTGACCTTGGGGACACTGTTGAGAGGCTCAGCCCTAGTGAGAAGGGTGGGTGAAGCTCTCTGGAGCCCAAGGGACTGACTTCCAACTTGGGGATGTTAGACCCACAGTGCCTTTAAGGTCAGCTCATTCAGATTCGACGGCCTGTGGGAAATTCAGTGTCTCCTCTCATGCCCAGGGGTGATGCCTCAGGATGGACCTCCACCTTCCTTCCTTCCTTCCTTCCTTCCTTCCTTCCTTCGTTCCTTCCTTCCTTCCTTCCTTCCATCTAGTCCTGGAGGTCTCTGACTACATGAAAGGCTGGCCTGAGCAGCTGTCACTGGTCCCCACTGCCCTTGGCCTGAACCCCCTCTACTGGGAGTTTGTTCTGAGCCCCTGTGTCCTTCCCTGGGGTCCACCCTGGGACCTGCTGAGCCCAGAGCCAGCCTAGCCTGTGACCCGCTCCCCTGAGCTGTGCTGTGCCCAAACTGAGGGGCTGGGCTGGACCTGGAGATCAAACAGGGAGCCCAATAAGCCCTTTCTCATTTATTCTGTCTCACTACCTCTATGAATGCCTGCCCTATTCATGCCAGTCCAGCTCAGATCTCCAGGGATGCCCAGAGAGTAGACCCTGCTCCTCCCTCCAGGGCTGAATGTTCAGGGGAGAGGGGCTCAGGATACAGGGAAGGGGGTCCATGCAGTGATGAATGTGGGCAGGACGCAGAGAGGTGGCCCAGAGCAGGACTAGGGAGAATCAGGGAGGGCTTCCCGAGGAGGTGGCATTAGACTGCAGCAGAACACACTGTTATCAGTTGGCCATGTCAACAGTGACTACATGTGGCAGCAGGGACTTAATGTGTCTTGCTAATCTCTCTGGGCCACAGCCAGCTCCCCACTTCTTCAGTCTCCTGCCACCTCCAGGCCCCAGCCTAGTCCTGCATTCTCACCCTAGGGGCCATGTCCTTCAGCGTTCTTTTGCTTTCTAAGGCCCTGGCCCTGGTTGGGTGGGTCAAAGTTCTGGCATGGAGCTTCTCTCATCATCCCCCGCCCCCCTAAACCCCACCATGCGGCCCTGGGGAAGGGCTGGAGGGGGTGTCTGAGTCACCTGTCTGCTACCAGGAGCCAGGGTCGCCTGGTCCCACTGCCATGGCCACCGGCATCGCCACCCACGTGCAGCTTCAAAGCTGGCTTAGCCAGGTCGTCCTGGGAGATGGACTCAGGGTCTCTCCTCCGTCCACAGGTTCCCTCATCCAGGTGCCCATGTCCGAGAAGGGCAAGATCACCAGGGGGCGCCTGGGGTCCCTGTCCCTGAAGAAGGAGGGCGAGAGGCAGTGCTTCCTGTTTTCTAAGCACCTGATCATCTGCACCAGAGGCTCTGGCGGAAAGCTTCACCTAACTAAGGTAAGGCCGGGGCTGGGGAGCTGCTGGGGCTGGAGGTCGGACACCACAGTGACCTGGGGGTCCTGACCAACACTGACCAGGGCCCAGACAGTGGGCAGGGGTGTCAGAGACACCCCTCAAGTGTACACACACATACACACACACACACACTGACTACTCCAACTGGAAGCTTGAAATGAGCGAACCATTTATGGGTTTTCTACTGGAGAAGTCATGGGAAATGGGAAAGTGAGTACAAAGAGGCCCAAAGGTGCCCCCACAGCTGGGAGCCGGGATAGAGGAGCCAGGGGGTTCCGAGAAGCTCTTTCTTAAATTTTTATTTCTTTATTTTTAATTTATTTATTTTTGACTGTGCTGGGTCTTTGTTGTTGAGAACGGGCTTTTCTCTAGTTTTGGCAAGTGGGGGCTGCTCTCTGGTTGCAGTGCCTCGGCTTCTCATTGCAGTGGCTTCTCATTGCAGTGGCTTCTCTTGCTACAGAACACAGACTCCAGGCCCACAGACTTCAGTAACTGCAGCGTATGGGCTCGGCAGTTGCGACTCCTGGGGTCTAGAGCACAGGCTTAGTAGCTGGGGTGCACAGGCTTTGTTGCTCCAAAGCATGTACGGTCTTCCTGGACTGGGGATTGAACCCATGTCTCCTGCATTGGTAGGCAGGATTCTTTACCACTGGACTACCAGGAAAGTCCCCAGATAAGCCCTTAAAAGTCCCGTGTGTATATGTGAGGGGCCAGTGGAGGATGGTCACATCTGGCTGAGGCAGAGCAGCACCCAGAGCCTTTTTCTCATTTTCAACCAAAAAGGAGATCAGACAGCACCCATTCCTGATGCCTTTGAGCACTCACCCCACCCCCAGCACCCCAGGCAGAAGCTACTGCTCCCCAACACAGCACATGGCTTATCCCACTGTTGAGAGCTCAGGATTTGATCCCACCTCTTTCTCACACACTGTGTGAGCCCGGACACTTCCCACGCCGGTCCACACCTCACTTCCTCATCTGCTTTGAAACAAGGGTGGCTGTCCTCACCAGGGGCATGCACAGATGCAGGGAGGTGCCCATAGACCTGCTCTGGGAGGTGTGATGCCCTTGCGTCTGTAGCGACAGCCTCCCCAAACTGTGTTCATCCCCATGAAGGCTCGCTTCAGCAGATTTCAAGTCTGAACACGCTGTGGCCTTGAGAGGCCAGAAGGAGCCCTTAATTAAAGCAGAACATCAGGGAAACCATTCTTCCAGACCCTGGACGCCTGGCCCGTAGCCTCCTGCAGCGCTAATAGATCAAGCAGTGGCTTCGGGGAACCTACTGCTTATGTTAACATGTCGACAAATTAGCTGGTCGGCTGCACAGGGGGAAATTAATTTACAAACATGGAATACTCCAGTTTCAACCAAATTGTGTGTCGAGGAAAGCATTCATTATTTATTAGCTCTGGAGTTTCTTTTGGGAAGATCTCTGTCCAGGCTGGAGGAATGGTTCTTCCAGAAGGTGGGGGTCAGTAGGGGTGCTTTGGACCAGAGACTTGAAGGCAGCTTTTCAGTCTGAAAGCACATGCCTTTGTGTTTGTTCATTTTGTCTTATTTTGGTTTGGAGGGTTGTTTATTTATTTGTTGGAGTTTTAAAAGTCTCTTAGTATACTGGTAAAGATGGAATGTGAGCACTACTCAAATTCTAGCCTTGCTACTTACCCGTGGGTGACCTTACTAAGCTCCAGTTTGCGTGCATACTCAGTCACTAAGTCATGTCTAATTCTTTGCAACACTAATGGACTGCAGCATACCAGGCTTCCCTGTCCTTCACTATCTCCTGGAGTCTGCTCAAACTCCTGTCTATTGAGTGGGTAATGCCATCTAACCATCTCAGCCTCTGTTGCCCCCTTCTCCTCCTGCCCGCAGTCTTTCCCAACATCAGGGTCTTTTCCTATGAGTTGGCTCTTCTTCGCATCAGGTGTCAAAATATTGGAACTTCAGCTTCAGCATCTGTCCTTCCAATGAATAGTCAGAGTTGATTTCCTTTAGGATTAACTGGTTTGATCTCCTTGCTGTCCAAGGGACTCTCAAGAGTCTTCTCCAGCACCACAGTTTGAAAGCATCAATTCTTTGGCGCTCAGCCTTCTTCATGTCCAACTCTCACATCCCTGCATGACTACTGGAAAAACCATAGTTTTGACTAGATGGACCTTTGTGAGCCTAGGCTGAGGGATTTCAGACTTCTGCAGACTTGGGGCCACCGGGTGATGCCTCGGAACTGCTGTGAGACAAGAAGTGACGTGCAAGCTCTCCATCCCCAGCCCAACCTCACCCTCCTCCAGGGGAGGCATCTCTGAGCTAGTCCCAATTGAGCCACTTCATTGGGCTTCTTTTTAACATTTAATTTTCTTTTAAGATTTTTTTTATGTGGACCATTTTTTAAATCTTTACTGAATTTGTTACAGTATTGCTTCTGTCATATGCTAAGTCACCAGTTATGTCCAACTATTTATGACCCCATGGACTGTAGCCTGCCAGGTTCCTCTGTCCGTGGGGATTCTCCAGGCAAGAATAATAGAGTGGGTTGCCATTTCCTTCTCCAGGGGATCTTCCCAACCCAGGGTTTGAACCTGTGTCTCTTACGTCTCCTGCACTGGTAGGCGGGTTATTTACCACTAGCGCCACCTGTGTTTTGGTTTTTTGGCCAAGAGACACATGGGATCTTAGTTCTCCAACCAGGGACTGAACCCATACCCCCTGCATTAGAAGGTGAAGTCTTAACCAATGGACCACCAGAGAAGTCCCTGGGCTCCTTATATGAAGATAAAATTCTTCAACTTAAAAACCAGAATACCCTCTTGGCTATGATGTGCACATATACGTGCGTGTCTATCGCTTTTAGAGTCCCTCCTCGTACTGACATTCTGGAACTCCGAACCTAGAGCATCTCCCCCCCGCCCCCACCCCTGATTCAAGGTGGCCCCGCTCTTTTTCAGAATGGAGTCATATCCCTCATTGACTGCACCTTGCTGGAGGAGCCGGAGAGCACNGGAGTCATATCCCTCATTGACTGCACCTTGCTGGAGGAGCCGGAGAGCACAGAGGAAGAAGGTGAGCGCGAGGCCACCTGCAGGCCAGTGTGTCCTCACACAGATCACACACTCTCACCCTCAGAGGTGGAACCCAGGCTGTGGGAGGAGAGGAGGATGCTGAAGTTCGGGGGTCATTGTCCTGGATCTGGAGAGACCAGTCTGGGTCTTTAGAGGAGCTCCCTGGCCCAGTGGGTGACCACCTCCACCCCCTTCCTGATTCCTTCCAAGCTCCTTGGGTCCCTGGGTTTGGGGGTCCTGCAGGTCAGAGAGCACCCCTCCTTAATGCATCCATGTGCTGCATGCACCGTTGCTCACCGGACAGCCAGGAAGATGCCAGGGAGGTGCCAGACCCAGCTCTGTCCTCCAGTGCAAACAGGTGGGGTGTGCAGGGACACACGTGCTCCCACCAGAGGGAGCGTAGGGGACCATCCCCCACAGTGAGGCTGGAGGGACCAGGACCCAGGACGGGAAACAAGACTCGGGGAGAAGGGAGCATGTGAGGGGGGACCTCAGCACACCAGAAGGGCCAGGTAGGGGGGTGGCCAAGTGCCTGGAAAGCCTTGGCATGGGGCTGTCTGTGGATTTGTGTCTCCCGGGGAATTAGAGTTGGGGGGTGGGCCTGTTATGTGGGGTTAAGGGGTGGGGTCACTGCTCTCTCTCAATTGGACCCAAGTTGCTCCTCGTGTTCCTGCTTCGTGACTCCCCAGCGAGGCTCCGGATCCCTGCCCTGGGGGTACACCGGCTGGATGGGCCATCTCCACCCTTCTCTAGATCAGGACTCCATGGGCGGGGCTGTGTCTGAGGACCTCAGATTCTAGTCCCAGCTTGGTCTCGGGCTCAGGTTTTGCTGGGAGCTGGGAGCCTCATCCACACACTCACATATACACACGCATGCCCTGGTCAGCCCCAGGGAGCTGAGCTCTGCACCCCTCATGACCCTCTACCCAGGGCAGAGCCAAGCAGCCCCCACAAGGCAAGAATAAACCTGTAGTAGTTCACCCGAGGCTCTTATCAGCATGATCGTCTTCAGTCTTGGCCACGGCCGGTCCAGACCCCGGTGGAACTATCAGTCCCCAAGCCCTTTTTCCTCCAAGTCCAGGAAAGGTAGAGACACNCAAGGCAAGAATAAACCTGTAGTAGTTCACCCGAGGCTCTTATCAGCATGATCGTCTTCAGTCTTGGCCACGGCCGGTCCAGACCCCGGTGGAACTATCAGTCCCCAAGCCCTTTTTCCTCCAAGTCCAGGAAAGGTAGAGACACAGCCCCAAGCACCCCCACTCCACATGCAGACACCCCACTTCCGAGCAGCCGAAACCATCGCATCCCCAGGTCACCACACGGAGCGGGAACCCCTCTCCCCAGCAAGGCACCTTCAGATTCTCAAGTGTCAGCGCCGGAAGGGTCGGAGAACTCAGAGCCATCACTTCCCACTCTACTTGTGGAAGGACGTCTGAAGCCCAGAGCAGGAAGGGCACCCCCGCCACCCCAGGGTCACACAGCCGACAAGTAGAGCCCAGAGCTGTAGCAGGCCCTCCGCAACGCTCAGGCCAGTGAATGTGGAGACGTTGGAAGGAGTCCCTGAACTGTGATCTTAGTCTTTCCAAATAAAGAGAGTTCAAGGAGCCCTACAGGTTAAGAGCAGAAATAAAAGTACCCAGGATTTACTTTGGCTTTGGGGACCTCTCAGCTGAGATAAATGTCCAGCCCAGCAGCTCAAGATCTAAGGTTCTCCACCTGGCCCCTGGATCACCTTGGCAGAGCAGGAAGTGAAGTGAAAGTCACTCAGTCGTATCCGACTGTTTGCGACCCCATGGACTATACAGTCCATAGAATTCTCCAGGCCAGAATACTGGAGTGGGTAGCCTTTCCCTTCTCCAGGGGATCTTCCTAACCCAGGGATGGAACCCAGGTCTCCCTCTTTGCAGACAGATTATTTACCAGCTGAGCCACAAGGGAAGCCCAGGATGCAAAGCAGGAGGACCTGGCTTAACCCCTGCCCACCAGGGGGGTGGGGGTGTCTTATGGAAGTCCTCCCTGGGGACCTCAGATCCTCACTGGGGTTAGGAGAGCAGAGTCAACTGGGGAATCCTAAAAGCTATTCCGACATGGAATTAGAGCTGTCCCTGTGTGGCTGGAAGCTACTCTGTACTCCAGGTCTCAGTCTTACCATCTTTGAAATGGGGATTCCTCACCTTAAAAAAGAAAAAAGAGTTCTGACTTAGAATATGAACTTACGGTTTCTGGGAGGAACAGGATTGTTAGGGACTTTGGGAAGGTGTACACACTGTTATATTTTAAATGAATAACCAACAAGGACTTCCTATATAGCACAGGGAACTCTGCTCAATGTTATGTGGCAGCCTGGATGGGAGGGGAGTTTGGGGGAGAATGGATATATGTATATAGATGGCTGAGTCCCTTTGCCATTCACCTGAAACTACCACAATATTGTTCATCAGCTATACTCCAATACAAAATAAAAAGCTTGAAGTTTGGGAAAAATTAAAAATACACCAAGGCATGAATCCAGAAAAGACAAAAATATAGTTCTGAAGCTAGCAAGAGGCCTGATGCCCTAGCGATGGCGTGCCTTCACCACCAGGTGAGGCAGGCATGATGCAGTTGTTTTCTAACTCAAAAAAGGCCCACACTCATCCTACTAACTCCGTGTTTTGCAACTGGAAGCCAAAGGGTCTGGCCAAGATGTAGACCACTTGGATTTCAAGATCGGGGTGGAGCCAAAGGATTCACCACCCTTCACGGTCATCCTCGTGGCCTCGTCCAGACAGGAGAAGGCGGCATGGACTAGTGACATCAGCCAGGTGAGTGATATCACCTGTCCCTGAGGGCAGGTGGTCCCTTCCTTCATACCTGCACTGTTTGAAGGAAGGGGCAGCTGCAGGGTCCTAATGGGAAAGACGCAGGTATCAACAGGGACAGCCCCATCCAAGGCTGAGCCCCGCTAGCTGTTTACTCCACCAAGGCCCCTAGGTCTCTGTAGGTGTGGGGGCCCCTTGCATCCAAAACATCCATAGAGCAGGTTTGAGAACCCCAGGTTCCTGGGTTCCCTGTTGGTCCCCTGAGTTTACTACACTCACATCTCTGGTATGAGGCCTGGGAACCTACACTTTAGCCCTGCAGTGGGCAGAGGACAGAGGAGGCTGGAGGCCCCACTGAGTTGGCCTTCAGTGAGAGAGACCCCAGATCACTGTGGATCTGATCCTGTCCTTGACGTTGGACCTCAGAAGTCACCCCGAGAATGGCCAGAGTGAGACACTTTCACAAACACCCCAGGGGAGGGGGTGTAGGAATCATTATCCCCATTTTGTAGATAGGGAGACTGAGGCCCAAGTAGGTCAAGTAAAGTCCCAAAAGGTCACTGAGCTGGGGACTTGACTTCTGGCTAGAATCCACAGGATGCTCTGTGTTGACCCTGCCCTTGCCTGGATGGTGCTCTTTGACCCTGTGTCAGGCGGGAGCACGTGAACCCTCACTGAGCAGAGCCCCTGCCAGGCCTGTCTCAGCACAGAGACTGAGGCTCTGACTCGGAGCCCTCTCTCTGACTCCAGTGTGTGGATAACATCCGGTGCAACGGGCTGATGATGAACGCCTTTGAGGAAAACTCCAAGGTCACGGTGCCACAGATGATCAAGTAAGTGCCCAAGCCCCATGTGGTCTGGGCTGAGCTCCAGAGACCAAACGTCACACCGTGACGTCAGGAGGCTCGGGAGATGCTGAGTGTCACCTCTGGGGTGCTCTAGGCATGTGTTCGTTCTGAGTTTATGTCTATTTGGTTGATGGCTTTGATCTAGTTTTTGTAGTTGTTTTTGTCTTGAAAATGTATATTTTTGTATTGTTGTTCAGTCGTCTGACTCTTTGCAACTCCATGGACCGCAGCACACCAGGCTTCCCTGTCCTTCACCGTCTCCCCGAGTTTGTTCAAATTCATGTCAGCGATGCCATCCAACTATCTGATCCTCTGTCACCTTCTTCTCCACCTGCCTTCAATCCTTCACAGCATCAGGGTCTTTTCTAAAGAGTTGGTTCTTCACATCACCTGGCCAAAGTATTGCAGCTTCAGCATCAGTCCTTCCAATGAATATTTAGGGTTGATTTCCTTTCTGATTGACTGGTTTGATCTCCTTGCAGTCCAAAGGACTCTCAAGAGTCTTCTCTAGTGCCGCAGTTCAAAAACATCAATTCTTTGGTGCTCAGTCTTCTTTATAGTCCAACTCTCACATTCAATTAGGCTGTTTAAAATAGAATATCAGGAATGACACTTTATGCACTCTTTTTGCTTTTTTAGGAGATGGCTTTTAAAAAAAAAAAATATTTATTTGTTTATTTGGCTGCACCGGGTCTTAGTTGTGGCATGTAGAGTCTAGTTCCCTGACTAGGGATTGAACCCAGGCCCCCTGCATTGGAAATGAAGAGTCTTAGCCACAGGACCACCAAAGAAGTCCTTTTTTTTTGTAATTTTTATTTTTTCCCCAAACTTCTTTATTTTTTAATTGAAGGAAAATTGCTTCACAATACTGTGTTGGCTTCTGCCTTACATCAAGTTCCCTATTTTTTAAATAGCTATTTTTCTTTGGTTTGAGCACCCCGGGGAGAAGGGACCAGGGGGTGTCCTCCTGCTGAACTCTGCTTCCTGAGCCCCACTGGGCAGTGCAGCCCTGACCTGCACCAGGCCTGCTTCTCCTCCAGCATCCGCTCACCTGACCCCCTCATGGCTCGCCCTACCACAGGTGGCCTGCTGGCCCTCTGACCTCCATCTGAACCTCTGAATCCCCAGCATGCTCTGTCCCCCTTACAGACACCAGGAGCCAGCTGACCCACCCTGGGGATGTTGTCCTGCCCAAAGCAAACATCAGGACCCACTGCCTCTTTGCCTCTTGAAGTACACACCCTGGGGAGCTGCAGACCATTGTGGAGCAAGTGTGTGAAAGGGTACCCCCACATACCTGGTTTCCACGGCAGGCCTGATGGAGCGAGCGTGCCAGGAGCTAGGGCCTAGCCAAGGCAGTGTGATGTCCATCAGGTGTTCTAAGCATCTGGATGAGTTTATGAAGAGTTCTCCCGACCCCAGTGGGTTTCAGTGTATTCACAGGGTCATGCTACCATCACTGCTAATTCCAAAATATTCCCATCACCCCCAAAAGAAACCTCATGTGTATTAGTAGTCATTCTAGTTCCCCCCCGTTTCTACCCTCTGGCAACCACTAACCTAGTTTCTGTGACTGTAGATTTGGCCGTTCTGGACAGTTCATGGAAATGAAATCTTGCAGCATGTGGACTTTTGTGACAGGGTTCTTTCACCTGGCATGTTTTCAGAAGTCATCCATGTTGCAGTTTATATTAGCATTTCATTCCTTTTTATGGCTGAATAATATTCCATTGTATGGACAACCACATTCTGTGTATCCTTTCATCAGTTGATGGACATTTGGGTCGTTTCCACTTTTCCACAATTATGAATAATGTTGCTCTGAATAGCCATGTCCAAATCTGCTTTGTGAACAGATTTTCTTCATAGCTTGTGAACTCGGCAGCACATTATTCATTAATTTATTTATATTTAGTTTTGGCTACACTGGGCCTTCTCTGCTACACTCTGGCTTTTTCTAGTTGCAGCGAGCTGGGGCTACTCTCTAGTTGCGGTGTGCAGGCATCTCATTGCAATGGCTTCTCTGGTTACAAAGCATAGACTCTAGGTATTCAAGGGGTCAGCAGTTGTGGTGCACAGGCTTGGTTGCCCCATGGCATGGGGGATATTCCTGGACTAGGGATCGAACTTGTGTCCCCTGCGTTGGCACACAGATCCTTAACCACTGGACTACCAGGGAAGTGCAAGCACTATATTATTTTTAAGTTTATTGTATTTTATCTAACACTTCTAGGAGTTTCNTTCAAGGGGTCAGCAGTTGTGGTGCACAGGCTTGGTTGCCCCATGGCATGGGGGATATTCCTGGACCAGGGATCGAACTTGTGTCCCCTGCGTTAGCACACAGATCCTTAACCACTGGACTACCAGGGAAGTGCAAGCACTATATTATTTTTAAGTTTATTGTATTTTATCTAACACTTCTAGGAGTTTCATAATGTCAGGTCATCGGGCATGATTGGGAAAAAGAAGTTGTAGCCCATTCTTTCACAACTTCAGTCTTCCAAAGCTTTCCTTGTTCCCATCATAAGCCACTGCATCCTTGATTATTGGTGTGTTGGGGAGACAGTGATGGTTGGGCCGTGGTCCAGCCCTCAGGGAGAGCGCGGCCTGGCTGGGAAGACAGCCATGGACTCAGGCACCTTCAGACCCAAGTCCTTCCTCCATTCCTCCCTCCTCCCTCCTCAGGTCCGACGCTTCCTTGTATTGTGATGACGTGGACATTCGCTTCAGCAAAACCATGAACTCCTGCAAAGTGCTGCAGATCCGGTACGCCAGCGTGGAGCGGCTACTGGAGCGACTGACCGACCTGCGCTTCCTGAGCATCGACTTCCTCAACACCTTCCTGCACTCTTACCGCGTCTTCACCACCGCCGTTGTGGTCCTGGACAAGCTCATCACCATCTACAGGAAGCCCATCAGTGCCATCCCCGCCAGGTGGGCAGGCTCCTCCACACCCCCCACCTGACCCCACCCCCCAACCCTGCCTCGGGCTGATCCACAGACCTCCTGGGCCCCGGAGGGAAACTGAGTTCAGCCTCAGGCTAGAACCTAAGGGGCAGATGTAAGCACTGTCCCAGAAACAAGCCTGCCCTCTGCAAAGACATGGGAGAGGGCTGGCCTGCCTGACGCTCCTGCTCGGCCCCAGCTTTCTCCTCCTGCCTCCAAGTTCCAGGGGTGGGGTAGAGTTTGGGGGTCACCGTGTTGTATCCTCCCTAACCTCCTTGAACCCTAGGGCCTGCCCTTCTTCCCACCTTCCCCACTGAGAAAGGAAAAAAAACAGAAAGGGTGGACTCAAGGAAAGAAGGGGGGAGGGTGGGAAGAAAGTCCGAGAGAGGGAGAATCTTATCCCTTTTCTGCTTAGACCGCATCTTGCTGTAAAGAGAGGAGATAGCCCCTTTTTGCACACTCAGGGTGGTTCCGCCTGTGGAGGGCAAGCACCCAAGTGGAGTGGAAAGGACACTGGGTTTAGAGTCAGGAGGCATCAGAGGAGTCATTTCCCGTCTCTGAGCCCCAGCTTCCTTGTTCATTAACTGTGTGGACCTGGGTGAGGTCAGAGCATGTAGGTGACACCAGGCCTGTGCAGGGGACAAAGGGAGCTTTCTTAGAAGCCTACAGGTCAAGGGGACCCACAGAATGTCAGGTCAGCCGCTGCTGTTGACCAGAGGGGGGTGAAGAGGGAGCTTCAGGCAGACCCGCTGCCCCACCAAAGCCCATGCCCGCCCCCCAGAGCAGGACTCCTGGGCCCGTAGAAACCTGGCCACTGGCCATTGAACCACATGGCCCCTCCGGCGTGGCCTCCTCTCAGACCTGCCTGCTCAGAGGACCTGCCCCAGGTCAGGGATCATGAAGATGAAGGAGCCACCACTGCCCTCTGGTGGGGACCAGAGACAGAGGACTCCCGTGGCCTGGGCAGGCAGTCAGGCTCCACTGGGCTGACCGTCTGTTTTCATCCCCCACCCCACCCACCCCTGCAGGTCACTGGAGCTCTTGTTCGCCAGTGGCCAGAACAACAAGCTCCTGTACGGGGACCCCCCCAAGTCCCCGCGTGCCACCCGCAAGTTCTCCTCACCACCGCCCCTGTCCATCACCAAGACGTCATCGCCCAGCCGCCGGCGGAAGCTCTCCCTCAACATCCCCATCATCACAGGCGGCAAGGCCCTGGATCTGGCTGCGCTCAGCTGTAGCTCCAACGGCTACACCAGCATGTACTCGGCCATGTCACCCTTTGGTAAAGCTACTCTGGACCCCAGCAAGCTCTACGTGTCCAGCAGCTTCGCCAACAAGATCCCAGATGAGGGTGACACTGCCACCGAGAAGTCCGAAGAGCCCTCTGCCCTCAGCAAGCAGAGTGAGTGGATGCCCCCAGGCTCAACGGCCACGGAGGCTGGCCAGCTCCCTTGGGGCAGGAGGGGTAGGCTGAGGGGGCCCAGCCAGATTACGGTGGCCATGCAGAGGCTGGGTGGGAGAGAGGCAGGCAGAGACACTCAGGAAGGTGGCTGACTGTCCCCCCCCCATCATCAGGTGTCCCATTGCCCTGATAACCGCTTCCTCCTGCATCCTTGTATCTGTCCATCTCTGCAGCATACATGCCCTGGGCCAGGCCTCGGTCAGGGCCTGCGAGAGAAGAGGGCAGCAGACCTGGCTCCTGCCCCCAGGATTCACAGTGTGGCTGAGAAGCAGGGCTAGACATGGAAATAGGACTCCTGATGCGTGTTCTGTTGGAGGGGTGATCAGGAGACCCTGGGGAGAGTCAGAGAAGGCTTCCTGGAGGGCCTGTCAGATCTAGATGTGTCACATATAGAGGAAGGGAGAACATTCTAGACCAGCGGAATGGAGTGGGAGAGACTAAGGGGCGAGGAAGAGTGTTGTGTGTTCAGGGAACAGCGTGAAGTGCAGCACACACCTGCGACGCTGGATGTGGAGATGACGGCTACAGGTGATGGCGGCCAGGCTGGGCCCTCACTGCTCTCAGAAACCCGACCATTCCAAGATGGTGTCCCTTTGGATGGTTGTCTGTCTCTGTCTGAGGTTAGGTCAGCCCACATCCTGGGTGACACCAGCCTTGCAGTGGTTAGCATACATATGCATGCACGCACACACATGCACACATACTCAACCCTGGGCTGGACAGAAGCCCCCAGCCTTCAAGGAGCAGGCCTTGGAAAAAAATTTGAGATGGTTGGAATTTCTCTCCTCTGAGTTGAGAAGGGGGGAGGCAGGGGAACCTCCAACAGAGGGCATAGCTGGGAAGGGGTGAAGCCCCCAGGACCTCCATACCAGGTGACATTTACTGTGGCGCGTGCAATAAACGGGATGCACACGGCTGAAAGTCAATTACCAAAGTGACAGCCTACCAAAGAGTCCCAGAGGCCATCCTGCAGGAGCAAGGGGCAGAATCCTAGCCAGGAAACACGGCAAGTAAATGTCATTTGGTTTCCGAGGTGGAATCCTAGGCTACAAAGGGGACACTGGGTAGAAACTAAGGAAATTTGAATAAAGCATGGACTTTAGCTGAAAAAAAATGACTAGGGACTTCCCTAGAGGGCCAGGGGTTAAGACTCTGTGCTTCCAATGCAGAGGACCTGGTTTAGATCCCTGGTTGGGAAACTTAGGACCTCGAGTGCCACATGGTGAGGCCAAAAATATTAAAATCTTTTTGAAAAAGTCAACGATTATTTGAGAAATACCAAATTGTTTCCTTCTTTCCTTCCAGGCTCAGAAGTCTCCATGAGGGAAGAGTCAGACAATGATCAAAACCAGAGTGACGATGGTGACGCTGAGACATCCCCCACCAAATCTCCAACAACACCAAAATCGGTCAAAAGCAAAAACTCCTCAGGTACAGCTCACCAACCCAGAACTGCAAATAGATTCCAGATGTTGTGTGAGATGCGGGTTGGGGAGGGCAGCAGGTCAGGCTGAGGGAGACCAGTGGGTGTCACACCTTGTGTTCTGTGAGTGACTCAGTGCAGGAACCCGGCTGCACTTCCCAGCCTGGGGGCGACTCTGGGGCTGCAGCACTGGCTGGGAAATCCTGCTGTTCCTCTCGGCAGTCCCTCCACTGACCTCAGACAACGCTGTGTAACCCACCCCATCCAGGTGGGCAGGAAGGCCCATCTTTTGGCTTCATTTATGGAAGATCCAGGTTTCCCTGGTGACTCGAGACGGTAAAGAATCCTCCTGCAATGCAAGAGACCTGGGTTCAATCCCTTGGTCAGGAAAGTCCCCTGGAGAAGGGAATGGCTGCCCACTCCAGTATTCCCGCCTGGAGAGAATTCCATGGACAGAGGAGCCTGACAGGTTGCAGTCCACGGGGTCATAAAGAGTCAGACATGACTGAGTGACTCTCACTGACTCCCTCATTGAATTTGTTGCAATATTTCTTCTATATTTGGGTTTTTTGGCCCTGAGGCATGTGGGATCTTAGCTCTCTGACCAAGGATCAAACCAGCACCCCCTGCACTGGACAGTGAAGTCCTAACCAACTGGACCACCAGGGAAGACCCAGAAGGAGCTTCTTGAGCTGCTGCTACACGTCAGGCTCTGTGTTGGCTCTTTAATCACACCTTGCAGAGGGGCCTTCCTGTTTTTCATCTGACGGAAGAGTCTCTGGGAGGTTGTGATGATGCCGGGTCCAAGTCTCAGACTCAAGATCCAGGAGGGCTCTCAGGGGGCCATCCGGGTCTCTGGTTCCCGTAAAGCACCTCCCCACACATAAGGGGCGGGGGTGGGGGGGCTCTGAGGAGCCCAGAGTTGAGGCATGAGCTCATAGAAGCCCCTTGTGTCTCCAGCTGCCTCTTCAAGCCCCTGCTCCCACATACAAAGTGCAGCCTGAACCCCAAACTCCCCGATTTCCCAGGAGACCCAGTAAGTCACAGAGTCACCCACCAGCAGAGAGAAACTGCCAGGACATTGCATGGAAGAAGAGCTCACAGACAGCCAAGTTCCAGAAATAAGCCTTGAGTTTTAAAATCAATCATTTGCTCCTCAGTGCCTAAGGATTACTTTGTCCTAAGAATGGCTGCTTTCCAGAGATTTCTCCAAGATGAAGCTAAAGGTTTCTGGAGTGAGATTCTACTAATATCACTGCTAAAAAAAAAATGATGATTGTTATTGCATTGATATTCCATGGCATATATGTGTTGTTGTTCAGTCACTAAGTCTTGCCCGACTCTTTGCGACCCATGGACTGTAGCCCACTGGGCTCCTCTGTCCCTGGGATTTCCAAGGCAAAAATATTGGAGTGGGTTACCATTTCCTCCTCCAGGACATCTTCCTGACCCAGGGATCAAACTTGCATCTTCCCGCATTGGCAAGCAGATTCTTCACCACTGAGCCACCAGAAAGTCCATGGGCATATAAAGATATATATATATATATATCTTTTCACATATATATATATATATCTCTTTTCATATATATATTTTTTTCACACAATACTAAATACTTTCATCTGTGTTAACTCCTTTAATCTTTACATCCACCTTTTGAAGCAGGTATTATCCCGAGATTACATAGACTCAAAGAGGTTAGGTAATTTACCCAAGACCACACAGCTAGTAAGGGGGGTGAGGACTTGGACTGCGGTGCTCTTTCCACCCCCACAATGATGCCAGGGAACCCGTCAGTGTGAGTTATCCACGTCAGACTTTGCACAGGTTATGTGTTCATTCCAAATAGGCATAAAGGGTGAGATAATACATGAGGCTGTCCCTGAGTAGGCCTGAGCCCAGCTGGGCCTACAAGGTAAAAGGTTTGGGGCTGCAAAGAGATGCAAGGGGTGGCTGGACTTTCTCCAGGAGCAGGAGAGCTGGTAGGACCTTCTTATCTCAGCAGGAGAAGCAGAAGGAGGCAGACAGGGGCTTTCTCTGAGGCAGCCCTGGGGTGACACAGAGTGGCATGGGTGTGTCCCTCCCTGGGGACCGCAGCAGGAGACCAGTTCCCATGCCTGCCACCTGACCAGCCTGGTTGCAGTGAACACAGCCTGCCTGTCCAGAGGCCTTTCTAGCCTTGAGACCCATGGTTTCCTGAGCCAAGGGCTGGATCAGCGATGGCTGAGGCTTGATCCCCTGCTCCCCACAGAGTTCCCCCTCTTCTCCTACAATAATGGAGTGGTCATGACCTCCTGTCGTGAGCTGGACAGTAACCGCAGCGCCCTGTCAGCAGCCTCTGCCTTCGCAATAGCAACTGCGGGTGCCAACGAGGGCACCCCGAACAAGGAGAAGTACCGGAGGATGTCCTTGGCCAGTGCAGGTACAGGGTTGGCTCACCACCTTGATGACAGCACCACCCCAGGGGCTTGTCCCCCTTCTGATGGAGTGCCTGCTGCCCCAGGCCCTGGCAGTGCTGAGCCTCCTGCCTGGGGGCCCCTTCCTCCCCACCCATCCGCTCTGTGACTTGGCAAACCTTTGCTTGGAGTCAAGCCCACTGCCTGACGGATGCTCGGCCACCCGCTCTGCCTCCCACTTTCATGGTGGAGTAGAGGCTGCCAGAATCCTCCAGCGGCCCCTGAAAGCTGCAGAGGTCCGGGAGAAGCGGGCCTGTATGGACTGTGTCCACAGGAAGTTGAGCCATCCGGACTCCTTGGTCAGAACCTGGGCTGGTTGTCAGATATTGTCTCATCCCTCACCTGGAGCACCCCCGTCCTTCCCCCGGCCCCCCCAGATCTGGGGTGTCTTATCCTCACTACCCTCTCCCCTCTCTGTCACCTGTGTGCCAGGCTTCCCCCCCGACCAGAGAAACGGAGACAAGGAATTTGTGATTCGCAGAGCAGCCACCAACCGCGTCCTGAACGTGCTCCGACACTGGGTGTCCAAGCATTCTCAGGTGGGTGGGACCCCCCAGGGACGCCCCACAATCCATGCGAGCTGCTGGGGACCCAAGATCATTGACCCGGGAACCAGCTGCCCTGATATTCTCGGGAGGACCTGCTCAGATCCCCTACAAGGGGACCTAGGACATTCCAAGGGGACAAGGGGCCTCTGCTCTCCACCTCTGTCTACATCAAGGCTACCTCCCAGGGCCTGGCTTAGGGCTGTAGCAATCAAGGGATGCTCCTTGACCTTACAGCGCCTTTTACCTCCAAATCAGTCGGCTCCACTGGTGCCTGGCAGGCAGCTGAGGAAGAGGGAGATGAGGCAGGAAGCCTGAGTGGGCAGAGGGTGCATCCTTCCGCCCTGGCCAGGCAGGGACCACCTCAGGGCAGGTGGAACAGTAGCCAGAGCCGCCCTCCTGTCTTCCCTGCAGGACTTTGAGACCAACGACGAGCTCAAATGCAAGGTCATCAGCTTCCTGGAGGAGGTCATGCATGACCCAGAGCTCCTGACCCAGGAGCGGAAGGCTGCGGCCAATATCATCAGGTGGGGGCTGGGGATGGTCTGCTGAACGGGGGCCCTGCCCTCTGCCTGCGCACGGCCAGCCAGAGGCGGGGGGCAAGGGAGAAGAGGGCCCTCCCCAGACCAGAGGACCGTCTCAGGCGGTTGCTCTGGGAGGATCTCGGAGCCCTGGGCAGCCTAGGGGCTGGACAACACCCTGCAACCAGGATCTGGAGTGGCTTGTCCATGTGTGTCCTCCCCTCCACCTACCCACCTCAGACCTGGAGATAAGACCTGTGCCTGCTTCCGCATCCACACCCACTGCTGATACCCATCTATTCCATGCTGACCTGTGTGATAGCCACTAGTGATGTATGGGTGTTAAATCTAAATTAATTAAATAGGGACTTCCATGGAGGTCCAGTGGCTAAGACTGGGTGGCAGGGGGGCGGCCAATGCAGGGAGCCCAAGTTCGATCCCTGGTCAGGGAACTAGATCCCACATGCCTCAACTAAGACCTGGCACAGCCAAATAAATAAAAATAAATATTTAAGATTAAATACAATTTAAACTCTAGTTCCTGAGTCACATGAGCCACAGGGAGCTGGTGCCTCCACAGGGGGCATCTTAAAGAACATTCCCGATTCCACTAAATAGGAAGTAAATCCAAAAGGGGGGGATATGTGTATGCATATAGCAGATTCACAGCAGAAAGTAACACAACTATATCCCGATAAAAATTTTTAAATAAAAAAAAATTCTAAAATACAAAATTTTGTTAAAAGAATATACTGTCATGGAGGAGGGCTTTGTCCAATTGCACTGGCGAGCCTGTCTCCAGGTGCTCCAGGGAATATGGTCGAATTGAATTAAATTGTCCCCAGACATCCTTTTTCCTCCTGTGCCAGATTGGGCCTCTCCTGGCAGAGGTCAGAGGTCAGGCGGCACATATCCAAGCCCTGCTGGCTGAGTGATGCGCTGTGTGACCTCAGGCAAGTCCTGTCTGTGAACCTCATTTTTCCTCCTCTGTAAAATGGGTTAACAACACCCACTTCCAGGGTTGTGGTGAGGCTGCGGTGAGATCACCTCTGCAGGTCTCAGGGGTGTCAGATGCAGGCCCTGGTCCACCCACCGCCCACCCCTGCTGACTCAGGCTGCCTTCTGGCCCTGCCCAGGTGCCTGGACTCAGGGTTAGGCCTCCCGACCTCACTTCCTGTCCGGCTACAGCTTTCTCTCCCTGCCCGGTGGTCATAGACTTGCATCCACTTTCTGGCCGACAATCCAGTCTCCAGGCTTCCTCCAGCCAGACCATCCAGTTTGCTTTCCTGAGGCCAGGGCTACAGGCCCATAATTCCTGCAGGTTCCACATCCTAGCATCACCCTCTCTGCCATACCCACTGCCTAGACACACACACACACACACACACACACACACACGTGCACACACACAGTCAGCCCCCAGGTCCTCCATGCCCTTCCTCCTCATCCTAGGAGACGTGCAGGACTGTGCTAGACCTTAGGTCTACGGGTCAAGTCAGATCAGGTGACCCTCAGACGGGGAGCTTGTTTAGACTGCTGCTGAATTCAGGGAGTCAAGTGGGCCCTGGTGTGGATGGTGGACCCAGAGAGCCCCAGCTGTGAGTCTGCTTCCTTGGAGGGAGAGTGTGGGTGGTTCAGGCAGGCCCTATGGCCTCCGGACTGTCCCTCAGCCATGGCCTGGCTCTTTGGCCCCGTCCCCCAGACTCACGATTGCTGTCAGAGTGAGGGCTCAGCATTTTGGCCTGACGCAGGAGCTCTGCCCTCATCCCCACCACTGCTCAGGACCCACTGCTCAGGACCACTGCTCAGTCGCTGTGAATGGCCTCCCACCTCTGGGCCTTTGACCACCACCTTGCTGCTTTCCCCTGTTCCCCCTGCCCCGTCTGGAAGGTTCCCCAGCACCTCTGGCCTCTCTGATGCTCCAGCCTGCAGCTCCTTCCACTCATTCGTCCCATCACCCCACCGGCCGGTGCATTGGCCACATGCTAAGCCCAGCCCCAGGTACCTGAGCTACAGGAACAAAAGGGACACCAGCCTGCTTTCAGAGGCTCCTGGCAGATTTGGAGGAGTGGACCAGGCACAGGCATGGCCGTTCCCAGCTGGGGAGCCTGGGGCTGAGACCACAGGAAGCCTGGGAGCTGAGGGAGCCCCAGGAGGGGGCCTCACCCATCCAGGAGGGTCAAGGAGCTGAATCATTGAAGACATCAATGACAAGAGAGGGGCAAGGGGGCTCCTGGCCTTGGAAATGGCAGAGCAGAGACAGAGGAGGGTTGTGTGTGGGGGTGGGGAGGGGACTGCCTGAAGGCAAGGGGTGTCACCAGCTTCTCGGGGCTCATCATTCCCTTTCACCCCCCAGGACTCTGACCCAGGATGACCCGGGTGACAACCAGATCACACTGGAGGAGATCACACAGATGGTGAGCCAGGCCTGCCCTCTTGCTCGCTGGCCAAGTCTGTCCTTCCCTGGCCACGTGGCTCCCAGGATCCCACCCCCAAGACCCCCCAGTGAAGCTCAGTCATCCCCTGTATTGGTTCCTGGAGCTCCCCTAACAAAGAGCCCTGGAATGGGGCACTTAAAACAGCAGAATTTTCATCTCGCATAGTTCTCGAGTCCAGAAGTCTGGAATTGAGGTGTTGCTGGGCCCATGCTCCGTCTGGAGGTTCCAGGGAAGGCTCTTCCTGGGCCTCTTCCACGTCTGGTGGCCCTGGGCATTCCCTGGCTTGTAAGGATCTCCAGTCTCTGCCTCGGTTGTCACATGGCCATTTCCTCCCCAGCTGTCTCCACGTCCTCTTCCTTCTGTGTGTGTCGGCCCTATGTCCAAATTTCCCCTTCTTAGAAAGACACCGAGATGGTTAGATAGCATCACCGACTCAACGGACATGAACTTGAACAAACTCAGGGAGATAGTGGCGGACTGGGAAGCCTGGTGTGCTACAGTTCATGGGGTCTTAAAGAGTCAGACATGACTGAGCAACTGACCAAAAGTAACAACATACTGGATGAGGCCCACTCTAGTGACCCCATCGTACCTGAGTACATCTCTGAAGGCCTTGTATCCAGTAAGTTCACGGTCACAGGTCCCACAGTTGAGGACTTCAACTACAGTATGTCCCCTACATACAAACAAGTTCTGTGAGCATGCTTCTAAGTCCAACTTGTTCATGAATCCAACAAAGTCAGCCTAGGTACCCAACTAACACAGTCAGCTATATAGTACTCTAGGTCATTGGTTTATAATACTTTTCACACAAATGATACGTAAGAAACAAATACAAAATTAAAGAAAACCATTTTAATCTTACAGTAGAGTACCCTGAAAAGTACAGTAGTACCAGCTTCCTCACCTCTGCTTTTTCGCTTGCTTCTGGACATCCTGGACTTGAAATAAAGACACTGCACTGCTATCCTCTATATAGGACTGTACAGTAAATACACACAGCACAACCACTTTAGAGGATGCATGCATGTGACAGTGTACACCAGACATGTGAACTAACTCACACGACTGGACCTGCGAACACATGTTCACCTCTTTGAAAGTTCACAGCTTGAAGGTTCATATGTAGAGGACTTACCTTATCTCTTGGGGAGGGAGATTCAACCGATAACAGCAACTCCTCTGTTTTCTTCATCTTCTGCTTTCATCTCTCCCCTGACCAGCCGCCTCTGTCTCTGCTCACCCTGTCCCTGGAAGGAGGAGGGTAAGAAGTCAGGCCTGGTGTGGACAGGCTCCCCAATATGTGCCAGAGTCTTAAGGACTCTTCTCAATAGTGCTGTGGATCTGTATCTTTATCCCCATCTTCCAGATGAGGCAACTGAGGCAGGGGGAGGTGGTAGGTGGCCGGGTCACGGTAGGTGGCCACCTGCCCGGCAGTGAGGGGACCCTGGGCAGAGCTCGAGGCAGGGTTCCATGCGGTGGAAGGGATGATGGTCTGTGTGCTTCCGGGGCCTGGCTGGGCCCCCTCTGGGCCCCCTCTGTGCCCCTGTTGCCCTTCACTGCGACCAAGGAAGCTCAGGGCCACCTTTGACCTCCCCGGAGGTGGAGGCCCACTCGTCAGACTGAGTGATATCCAGCCTGTTCAGAGTAGCCGATGGGAAGACTCAGGCCTCTGAGTCCTGCACCCACTGCTTCCCTCCCGCCCCCGCTCCTGACTCTTAGAGTGGGTTCTCCTGGCCCTGGGGGTGGGGGCAGCCATCTGTGGGGCAGCTGGCGCCCTGCCTGCACCCCAACCTCAAGAGCAGTGCTACAGGGCTGTGCCCCAGGCACCCGCCCAAGGACCCCGGCCAGAACACTCAGGCAGCAGCCACACTGCTCATGTTTCCCAACAGGGGCCTGACCGGAACGTTCACCCGTTAAGAGCCTGAGGGCCCTCATTTCAACTTCATGTGTAGCCAAGTCTCTTCAAGAACAAAGGGCCGGCCGCCCACCCAGCTGCACCCCCAGCTCCCCCCGCAACCCTGACGTGATTCCCAGAATCTGAGGGCCTGCGTGAGGCATGTCCAATCTGGAGGAGGCCCCAGGGCCCTCCAGAGAGCAGTGGGGCTTCTTGTGATGACGCTCACAGGCCTCTGCTCCAGGCCCTGCCCCTCCCGGGGGCCGGCCAGCTCCTCCTGGGCAGCGCGCCTCCCAACCAGGCCCCTTCCTCAGGTGTCCATGCCCTGGGCACCCACCCCAGCTCACGGCCTCACCCCAGGACAGGCCTGGGCCTTCAGGGTGGGCTCTGCTGGTTGCCTGTCGCCCCTGCTTCAGAGGCTGGGGGCTCCTCCTCATGAGGGTCCTGAGCATCCCAGGTGGCCCATGCCGCTTTCATCCCCACGTCACCACTGCCTTCCTGAGAACTGTCATTCCTGATGGCATCGTGTCCCCACACCCAGGCTGCTGTATCTGGACTTCTGCCCAGACCGTGCCTGGCCCAGGGTGACTCTGTTGCGGGGAGTACATGGACGCCCACCACCCGTACACACACACACCCCACACATGTACACACACACACACCACACACATGTACACAGTACACATGTGTACACAGTACACACGTACACACCATGCACACATACACATCACACACGAGTACACACCACACCATGTACACTCCATACACACACACGTACACACCATACACACACCATGCGCACCTCACACACATGTACACACCACACACATGTACACAGTACACACGTACACACCGTGCACACATACACATCACACACGAGTACACACCACACCATGTACACTCCATACACACCATGCACACACACGTACACACCACGCACACACCATGCGCACCTCACACACATGTACACACCACACACATACACACACAACGTCACACACACCACACACAGGCTGCAGTAGGAGCTCTTTCCTCCACTTGCCCACACTCTGTCCCTGCTCTGAGCCTGTGCCTGCAGCTCCTGAAGCCAGGACTGTGTTTTCTGGTCTTTTTGTCTCACAAGGATCTGCCTGGGCGGTTCTCAATGACAGTTTGCTGAGAAGTAAGTGGGAAGACTCTGTCCAGGATGGAGGCTTGTTCCCCTGACACGGGGTCACCCCCGCATTCCTTGTCATTAGTGCTACTGGCTGGGCCCTCTGGGCGGGGTAGCTAGCTGTCGCCTCCTATACAGCCCAGTCGGCACCCAGGAGCGGAGCAGGGACATCCGTGTTCCTGACTCTCCTCCCATGAGAGCCCAGTTACCCTTTCCGGATCCACCAGACTTTCCCAGAGGCCTCTAGGCTGCAGGCCTCCTCTTGTCTGATCCCAGCCATGGGGACATCACTTCCCTAGAGTGCTTCCTGAAGATTTCCCCAGTCGAGGGCTTGGGGAGTGGTCACCTTTAAATGTGGTGTCCATTGTGGCCCTGGGGCAGGGACTTGTACCCAGGACAAAGGCAAACAGCTGTATTGTGGACACGGGTCAGAGGTACAGGAGGTCATTGCACCTGTGAGTCTCTCCCCTAAGGAAATTTAAAAGGAAGTTCTGTGAAGCAGGTGTGGACAGACAGGACCCAAAGGAAGAAACAGGTTCCAGCCTGAATCAGACAGCCTGGGCTCTGTCTCCATCAACCTGGCTGAGCGCCTTGGGCTCATTAACCTCCAGACGCCTTTGTGGTCTCACCTGTGTGTTGACGTAAGGATGATCTCATGAGTGACTAAAGCACAGCACAGGCCTACAGACACACACACACACATGCACACACACAGACGGGGCACAGCAGATGATGGTTCCCAGCTCCCACCGTCCGCTGCTGGACAGTCTCCCAGGGAGGGGGGGCCTCCCCAGTCACGCCTCACCCTCCCACTTAGCAGAATCGAGATGGATGTTCCCTCTAGAAAGGGGCTCCAAAGCCAGAAGGGGCCCCTCGCGGGCCTGACTGGGACCTTGCTCCTCTCAGGCTGAAGGCGTGAAGGCCGAGCCCTTTGAAAACCACTCAGCCCTGGAGATTGCGGAGCAACTGACCCTGCTGGACCACCTCGTCTTCAAGAAGATCCCTTATGAGTGAGTGGGCATGGGTTCCAGCCCCCGCCTTCCTCCTCAGGCACCATCACAACTGAATCCCCCTCCTGAAGCATGTGCGCTAGATTTCCAGAGCTGCATGGTTGATGCTCCACAGAGAGAAGCATAAATGCATGTGCCGGCAGGGATGATGAAGGATTCCTGTCCCTTCCTGTCCCCAGGCTCCCTCCTTCCCTACCAACTGCACCTGTGCATGCACACACACCTGCACACACGCACACATACACATGCACACATGCGCACACACACACATACACATGGATACGCACACACACAGTTTTCCAGAAGCATCTCTAACTCCGTGCTCCTTTTCTGGCGGTCTAGAAAGAGTATGTGTTCACATGTGTGCACGTATGTACGTGTGAGCAAATTTGTGCACACGCATGTGTATGTGTCTGTGTGTATGCATGTGCAGGAATGGACTCTGGGGACAGCTCTGGCCTTTGAAGAAGCCCCAAGGCCTGATCAAAACCTCCTCTGGCCTGTAGTCAGTCACCCCCAGGTAGTCGTAACTGTACCACCTACATGATTTATATCACATTTTCTTCATCTTCCCCTGTGCCAGAATGGTATCTGTGAACACCGTCTTTACTAAGTACACTGTATCCCTGGCAGTGCACCAAGCCTTGAGGTTGTTTTCAGATTTCACTTTTATACTTAAAGGTGGAGGTCAAAAAGCCTCCTCATAACTAAATATATCTCTGGGTTTCTGACAAGTGTCCTAGAGTGGTTTCCTGAAATTGGAGTCACCGATTCTGAGGTCGTAAGTCATTGCAGGACTCCGGATCTCTGCCTTCTAGAAAGGTAGCCCCACCGGACACACACAGAGGCCCCCACTGACACGGGTGCTGCCCCCGCTGGTTGTGGAGTGTCAGCCTTTTATAAACCTGCCACATCTCCCAGGTGTAGAGGCAGTAGTTAATGCTCACTCTTGCCCATGGAACTCTGTCACGGTCACTGTCAAATAAGGAGCTTGCCTGGAGGCCTGGACAGCCTGTGGTCCTGTAAGGTCGCCATTCCCAGAACATGCTGTGGCATGGCTTGTAGGCACCTTTATCCGTCTATCTGGCCCTTTCTGTGGCCTTCTGTCCTTCCTGTTCTGCAGACCAACGTCTGCAATGTGACTTTAAAATGGAGGGTTTTCCCTGTCAGAAGCAAGATCCAAAAGCAGACCTGACGTGCTCTCAGCACCAAATCTCAGTTCGGCCTCTACATGACCCTGTAAGAGTATTGTCATTATTCCCATTTCACAGATGAGGAAACTGAGGCTCCAGGGGCTTAGCTAGAGCCACACAGCTGATATGGGGCACAGCTAGACCTGACCCCAGGGTCCCCTCCTCTCAAAGGCTCTGCAGAAAGTCACTTCCCAGTAATGACCACTTCAAAAAGCAGAGAACTCAGAAGAGAAATCAGTAAGAACAAACCTAACCCCACCCACTCTGGGTTTCTCCCTTACTTCCTACAGGGAGTTCTTCGGACAAGGGTGGATGAAATTGGAAAAGAATGAGAGGACCCCTTATATCATGAAAACCACTAAGCATTTCAATGATGTGAGTATAGGGGTGGGGGGTGCAGTGCCTTTTTCTGCAGGTTTCTCTTTGGTGGGACCCTCAGAACAGGCTGTACACCTGCTAGATCCATAGCAGCTGGGTCCTCTCTGAGCCTGTGAATTATATGCGAAATAATTTCTTTCAAAGTTTACACCCATCCCAAAAGATGGGGCTGTCATCGCACTTTAGACATGAAGACACCAAGACTCTGAAAGGTAAATGCCTGAGTTCTCCTGACCTATGTCTGGTAGCTCATGGCCTTCCTCCCCTGCAAAGCCCCAGTCCTGGGGAAAATATCCCTTCCTGATTTCCCCACATCTGCGCTAGTTCCAGCACTTGCAACCACAGGGACCCGTCCACTCCTGGCCTCGTGACAACCTTAAGGGCGTCTGCACTTAGCATCTTCATTCCTTTGCATTTAATCATCAACACAAGAGCCTTTGATGGCTGGAAGTGGGAGCACATGATCCCACTTGTCCTGACTGCCTGGTCAAAGCCACATGACGCCAACCACAGCCAGGGGCGGACCCTCATCCCGGGAGGAAACACAGACAATCCAGGCTTCGGAGCTCGGAGAAGGAGCCCTGTCACGAACACGGCTGCAGAGTGGAAAGCAGCATGTGCGGCAGGAGAGAAGACGTGATGAAGTGGACGGGGCCCTCAGGAAACACACACGAGGCCTGAGTCTGACCACACCTGACTCACAACTCTAACCACAGCAGGAGGCAGCAAAAAAGTCCCTCTTCCCCCCCCACCCTCCCCCACTGTGTGCCCAGGACTCAAGTAAGTAAAGGATGAGACGATGGAGCGAGCATTTATTACATGTTGACTGTGCTCAGGATTTCATCAGCCTCATCTTATTCTCTGTTTTGGATGAAGAAACTAAGGTTTGAGGAGGTTAAATTTCATCCCCAGTCATCAGCAGGAGAGCCCACTTTGAACCCACACAATCCACCTCCTGCAGAGGACTGCCATCATCACTACCTGGCGTGTGGCCATCTCTGTTAAAAATTCACCTTTTTTTCAGGTGCACAGAATGGGCACCCCTTTGATGGTGATAATCATGGCCTGAAACTGGCTCTTTATCTCTCCCTAACACAGGGTTTGGTTTGGTTTTGTCTTTGCTGGGTTCCAGCCCTATTGGCCTTAATTCTTTGTCTTACCTTTTAAAACAAATCTTCTTTTAAATTTTTAAAATTTTATTTAATTTGTTTATTTTGGCCTCACTGGGTCTTGGTTGCTGCACCCTGGCTTTCTCTAGTTGGAGTGAGAATGAGGGCTATTCTTTGTAGTGGTGCATAGGCTTCTCTTGTTGCAAAGCACGCGCTCTAGAGCTTGGACTCAGTAGTTGTGGCACATGGCCTTCTTTGCCCAGTGGCATGTGGGCTGTTTCCAGACCAGAGATCGAAACTGTGTCCCCTGCATTGGCAGGCAGATTCTCAACCACTGGACCACCAGGGAAGTCTTCTTGGTGTTATTGAATGGTACTGGCTGGGATCTCCAGGATCAGGGCTGAAACTGGTGTGAGTCAAATGAAGTGCTCAGGGACAAATTTAAGGAACTTCTCACCTTCAGGTGCATGCACTTGCACTCTGGGTGCCTCTAGACCTGGCCCCTGGACCACAGTCTTCAACAGAGATGGTGATAAGTGAATCCTGTTCTTGGTTTTCATCTCTATCAGTGTTAGTCACTCAGTTGTGTCCAACTCTTTGCCACCCCATGGACTGTAGCCCATAAGGCTCCTCTGTCCATGGAATTCTCCAGGCAAGAATACTGGAGTGGGTAACCATTCCCTTCTCCAGGTGATCTTCCTGACCCAGGGATTGAACCCAGGTCTGCCACATCGAAGACAGATTCTTTACTATCTGAACCACCTTAAAGAGTGCTTCTAATATTTCCCCATTTAGGATAAAATTTGTTTATCAAGTTAAGGAAATTCTTTTTCTTATTCCTTGTTTGCTAATAATGGTTTTTACCATAAATAAGTATTGCATTTTATCAACATTCCTCTGCATCTATTGAGATGGTCATATGGCTTTTCTCCTTTCAATCTATTGATGTGATGAATGACAATTATACATTTTTCTCTAATAGTCAACATCCTTGCATTCCATGGACAAATCTAATATATTCATATTATATTAAACAAAAGGATGTGTACTTTTTCCTTCTTTTAAGGTTATCTTTATCTGGTGTTGGTATCAAGATTATACTACCTTCATAGAATAAACTAGCAAGTATTCCTTCATTCTCTCTTCTCTGGAAAATTTGACTAATCTATTCCTTTTTTAAAAAATTACATAACGTGTAAAACTGTTTTGAATTCAGTATTTTCTTTATGGAAAAGAAAATTTCCATTTAATTAAGGCTTATAATATGTGTGCTATTTTGTGCTATCATTCCTTCCTGATTCACTTCAGTAGTTTTCCATTCTTACATCATTTTATAACTCATTCTTATTTATGTACGTCCTTTAGAAATTTTTCTAAAGAAGAATATTTCTGGGTGGTAGAGCCCTATAATTTATATTCATCTATAAGTGTCCTCTTTATTTTTTAATAACAAGTCATGTTTTTTGTACTTTTTATTTTAAAACAATTGTAGACTCAAAGGAAATGCAAAGAAATGTACAGGCAAGGCCAGTATTTCCTGCTGCCCCAGTTCCTTGCAGTTCTAGTTCTCTGATGTTTGAGCTCCAGCTTCCATCACCTCCCCAACCCCTGGCTGCTCCAAGTCCAGCCCTCATTTAGTTTGTTTGTGTATGTGTGATTATTTGCTTTGGAGGCAGGATAGAGGAGTCCTTGGATATGTGAACGAGACAAGGGTTGCCCCAAAGTGTGTGTCTTCTCCAAGCTTTAGTTGTATGGTGGGAGATTCCCTCAGACATTCACTCTTATTAACTGTTCTTCCAGATAAACTTTAGAATCACTTTGTCAGACTTTCAAGATAACTCCCATTGCATGTTTTATTGGATTGCATTAAACGTGCTTGTTAGTTTTGAAAAAAGATGTATTTACATTCCCATTTTGAACTCTAATCCTTTTCTTCTTTAATCAATCCTCTTATTACCTTTGACAACCTTATTTTTCATGGAGCATCCTACATAGTTCTCATTAAAGTTTCCAGGTAGGGACTTCCCTGGTGGTCAAGTGGTTAAGACTCCATGCTCCCAAAGCAGGGGGAGCAGGTTCCTGGTCGGGGAACTGAGATTCTACATGCCGTGTGACATGGCCAAAAAATAAATAAAAAACAATAAGAATAATAAAGTAATTAAAAAAAAGTTTCCAGGTAATTTACAGGTTCCCACTGGTATTTTGAAGGTGATGTCTTTTTCATTGTATTTTCTAAGTGGTGCTGTTGTTCAGTCACTCAGTGGTGTCCAACTCTTTGCAACCCCAAGGACTGCTGCACATCAGGCTTCCCTGACCTCCAGTCTCCCAGAGTTTGCTCAAACTCATGTCCATTGAGTCGGTGATACCATCCAAACATCTCATCCTCTACTGGCCCCTTCTCCTTCTGCTGTCAATCTTTTCCCCACATCAGGGTCTTTTCCAGTAAGTCAGTTCTTCACATAAGGTGGCGAAAGTATTGGAGTTTAAGCTTCAGCATCAGTCCTTCCAGTGTCAGTGTTGATTTTCTTTAGGATTGACTGGTTTGATCTCCTTGCTGTCCCAGGGACTCTCAAGAGTCTTCTCCAGCACAATTTGAAAGCATCAGTTCTTCAGCACTCAGCCTTCTTTATGGTCCAACTCTCCTATATGTACATGACTATTGGAAAAACCATAGCTGTGACTATACAGACCTTTGTCCGCAAAGTGATATCTCTGCTTTTTAATATGCTGTCTAGGTTTGTCATAGCTTTATTTACAAAGAGCAAGCCTCTATTAATCTCATGGCTGCAGTCACCATCTGCAGTGATTTTGGGGCCCAATTTGGTATTGCTACTATATTTTTAAAAGTTATTTTTGTATACTGAATCTTTAACCAGCTACCCTGATGAGCTCTGTTGGTTATTCTAGCAGTTTTCCAATTCATTCTTCTGGGAATTTTCAATCATTTCATCTGCAAATAATGGTGATTTATCATCTTTACAGTACTTATTCCCTTTACTTTTTTTCTCTTGTCCTATTGCATGGACTTAAAGATCAGTAACTTGATTGCTTCAGAAATCGTCCGCAACGAGGACATCAATGCGAGGGTGAGCACGATCGAGAAGTGGGTGGCCGTGGCCGACATATGCCGATGCTTACACAACTACAATGCTGTTTTGGAGATCACCTCATCCATGAACCGGAGCGCAATCTTCCGGCTGAAAAAGACTTGGCTTAAAGTCTCTAAGCAGGTACCAGCAGGAAGGTGGGATGGGCTGGGGCTAGGGCAGGGAGACCAGAGACCGCCACCATCCATAGGCGGATGAAGGACAGGGTGAGGGCCAACACTTCAGGTAAACTAGAGAACTCGTCTCCCGTTTCACCTGAGACCAGATATCAGGCCCACAGTGTGGCACTGGCACCTTGGGGGACTTTAATTCCCACTTGAATAGTCAGTACCTCAGAGTGGGACATATGACAGTAATTGTTGCTCCCAACACGCTGCTCCTTGAGTTGGGACAAAGGAGTGGTGACTTTTGGGGGATCTCAGTCCAAACCTGCAGGTTACCAAGATGGTGGTCAGATGATCCTGCAAGTCCTCTCCTCAGACTTTGATTTCACAGCCCTTCTGGCCCCGAGAGAGTTAACTTGTCCCTGTTACCCATTAGACAGTTGCTGATCTTATATATGAACTTAACAGTTATTCACTCAGAACCTGATTCTGAAAAACCTTAAGGCAGTGTCTTCCTCAGGAGTAAAGCTCTATGCCCTGGGGTCATAAGGAGACAGCTCTTCTGAGAGGAGGCGTTTGGGCCACCTCCTAGGTGCACTGGATGTCTCTGAAAGCTGGACAGGGACCACCAGGGGTCAGGGGATGCCTCCAAAGGCATCGGTAATATAGTGTCTGGTCTTACAGCCAAGGTGAGCTGTGTGGGGCCCAGGGTCTCCAAGGAGCCTGCTTCATCTGGGCCATTCTGAACTGGCATGCTGTGTCCCCTCATGGTTCTGTTCATCACCCGGTCCTCACTACTCTTCTAATGCCAATGACAGCTCATGTTTCCGTGCCCCAGGGAGGCAGCAGGTCCATAAATCCCTCCTCTTTAGATAAACAGCCAGACTCAGGATATCCTGGGACATCTCTGCTGCCCTTCCGCTACCAACCAGTCACTCCAGCTCCAGATGACAGCAGGACTGCAGAGCACCCCTACCATCCACACCTCACCCAGTGAGGCTGGGCCACTTGCTTAGCACACAGGGATGCCGGGCTCAGGACAAAAGCTGGAAGATGCCTCCCTTGCCAGTGGAAGAACAGGGGCTGGCAGTGCAGGAGCTCAGGGAAGCAGGCCACATCTGTTCACCTCGTGAACTCTTGGAGTCTGAGGTTGAGCGAGGCTGCCATAGAACCTCCAGGTCACCTAGGCTGTTCAGTCTGTTGAGATTCAAACATGGCTATGGGCAGAGTCCGAGTGACCCATTTCAGGTCAGCATCTTTCTTCTTCTACCCTGTTCCATCAGAATGATGTTATCTTTTCCAGAGGCCCTCTGACCAGGCTTTGTTTTCCCATCCCACTGGGGGTTTGGGAATTTTTTGGCTTCATTCTCTACATCATCTTTGTCATAGAGTTGGGAGGAAATTGCCTAGACCATCCTGAAGTCTTCCATTCTCTTAGGAGAGTGCAACTTGAGGGCAGTTAGATGGCAAGGTGTGTGATCTGGCCTGCCTCCAGGATGTCATTCAAGACATAGTGCCAGCCAGTATGTGCATGTGCTCAATCGTGTCCGACTCTTTGAGACCCATGGACTGTAGCGCACCAGGCTCCTCTATCCATGGAATTCTTCAGGCAAGAATTCTGGAGTGTGTTGCCATGCCCTCCTCCAAGGGATCTTCCAAACCCAGGGATCAAACCTGCATCTCTTATATCCCCTGCATTGGCAGGTGGGTTCTTTACCACTAGCACCAAAAAAAGGCTGAGCACCATAAAATTGATGTTTTCAAATTGTGGTACTGGAGAAGACTCTTGAGAGTCCCTTGGACAGCAAGGAGATCAAACCAGTCAATCCTAAAGGAAATCTACCCTAAATATTCATTGGAAGGACTGATGCTGAAGCTGAAGTTCCAATACTTTGGCCACCTGATGTGAAGAGCTCACTCATTGGAGAAGTCTCTGATGCTGGGAGAGATTGAGGGCAGGCGAAGGGGACAACAGAGGATGAGATGGTTAGGTAGCATCAACGACCCAATGGACATAAGAAACTCCAGGAGATAGTGTAGGACACAGGAGTCTGGCATGCTGCAGTCCATGGGGTTGCAAAGAGTCAGACACAACTTAGCAACTGAAAAACAATGACAACGAGCATGGTGATGCCTCACCTGGAGCTTTGTGAGTGTGTAACTGCTGTGTCACCCACAATTCTGGACTATCTGAATGAGTATTGCCCCTAAGGAACATCTGGACCCACCCTTCCATCTTCTGGATGTGTGTTGAGTGTGAACTTGCCTATGGATGCATTGAGTATGGAGGCAACAGAGCCCACCAAGGGCTCTGACCCCCAGTCCCCACATCTGGCCTCAGCAGCATCTCATTTCTCTGCAGGTGGAGGGGACAGAAGAGGAAGCGAGGGCACAGCTCTGGAAAGAGGCCAAGTGCAGGAGGGTGGCTGGGAGCCTGGGGTGGAGGTTGGCCTGGGCATCTGAGAGCAGCCATCTTGAAAGCAGGATCATCCACCCTTGGCCTGATGGGGCTTCTTCCTTCCTAGCATGTGTCTCTTTCATCAGACCCAGAATACATTTTTGCTTTGAGCAGGATTGCTCCAAACCAGGTGACCACATTTCTAATTGACATGGAGGGACCAGCCTGGAGGGACGGTGTGTTTTGCCATTCTCTCTCCTTGAAGAGCAACACTGATCTCTTCTTCCATCCAAATGAAGACTTGGCTTATTGTTTTCTGTGGGTAGGTTTCCATATAAAAATTAATCCTATGGTGCACGGCAGGTCTCTGGCCTGATTTCTCAACCATGTTCTGGATCTTGAGGCTTGGTGCTGGAAAGGAAGTCACTACTCATCTCATCATTTTATAAATGAGGGCGCTGAGGAGCTCCGAGGTGAGGGACTTTCCCCAGGTCGTGCGGGGGAAGAAGCACAAAGCCAGGCTCAACCCAGGACACGCTCTGCAGCACCCACCTGGACCCTTAAGAGGAACACCAGCCACCTGAGTGGCTCCACCTACTATGTGGGCGGGGCCTGCCTTGGTCGTTTGGCAGAGAGGACCCTCTGCTGCAGACTTTACTCTGCTCCATCATGGTCTTTTCTTCTTTGATGATAAGTTTATTCACCATCTTTTTTTTTCTTGATTATTAAATTCATGTGCTAAGCCGTTTCACTCCTGTCTGACTCTTTGCAACCCTTTAGACTGTAGCCCACCAGGCTCCTCTGTCCATGGGACTCTCAGGCAAGAATACTGGAGTGGGTTGCCATGCCCTTCTCCAGGGAATCTTCCCTACCCGGGGATCGAACCTGAGTTTCTTATGTCTCCTGCATTGGCAGGCAGGTTATTTACCACTAGTGCCACCTGGGAAGCCTGTTAAATTTGGGTGGTGCCCCTGATATGTAAAAGTGAAGGTGTGAGGAGATGGTCACATCCTTTGGGTACAGTGATGAGAAAGGTCATGATGGTGAAACATCAGTGATGCCCTGTTCTGGGTCCAGCTGTCTGGAGTTACCCATCACATCCTTCCCAACAACCCAGATCTCAGGACCCCAGCACTTGGACCCTCCTGGCCCCACCCACAGTTTCTGAAAGATGTATGAACATGGGTACACAAAGCAAAGATCTTTGTCTACCTCCTCATGAGTTCAGGATCAAGTTGCTAGACCCAGGAAGTCCCCAAACCCACCTGCCCCATCTCAAGATGGAACAAGGCCCTGGAGTGTGGGCCAGAGCCGCAGGCTTTGATCTGTGCTGTGTGCTAGTAAATGCTTCTCATTCCTTCCAGACTAAAGCTTTGATTGACAAGCTCCAAAAGCTTGTGTCATCAGAGGGCAGATTTAAGAATCTGAGAGAAGCTCTGAAAAAGTAAGTTGTGTGTCATTTTGTCACCATTATTTTTTAAATCATAGAACTGCATTGCAGTGGCGTTCGTGTGCCTCACCTGGCCGGAACAGGAGGCCTGTCTGTCTGTCTGTCCATCTGTCTGCCCACAAGACCAACCCCTACACATCCCCAGACCCCCAGGGCAGGTCAGCTTTGTCCTCCATCATCTCCCAAAGAAAACTCATGGTGTTGGGGCATTTCCAGAGAGGACACAGGAATAGTCTTGAGAAGTGTGGTAGGTGTGATGGCAATTATAGAGGTGCCAGATTCCTTGATTCCAAAATGCACATTTTATTTTATATTTTACCATTTCTGATGTCAGACTACATCTCATAGTCAATGCGTTTATTTCATATGATTACATTTCCTTTTTGTACTTGATAATTAGTCATCAAAACAAGAGTGCGTTTTACAGACAACGGCATCTTGGAATCAAACAAATACGATTTTACTAATAATTGACACTTTACAGTTTGCAAAGTTGGTGACTTCCCTGGCCCCGTTAACACTGCCCAGGAGGTGAACCTTCTCAACCTCGGTCCTCTTGTCCTTTTGTTGTTGTTAAGTCGCTCAGGCATGTCTGACTCTTTTTGACCCCATGGACTCACAGTCTCCTCTCTTCATGAGATTTCCCAGGCAAGAATACTGGGTTTCCATTTCCTTCTCCAGGGCATGTTCCCAACCCAGGTACTAAACCCGCATCTCCTGCATTGGCAGGCAGGTTCTTTTACATTTTTTTCCCCAGTCTTGGGGCATGTGGAATATTAGTTCCCTGACCAGGGATCAAACCACACCACCTTCAGTGGAAGTGTGGAGTCTTAACCACTCAACCACCAAGGAAGTCCCTAGACCAGGATAGTTTTTGTGGTGAGGGCTGTCCTGTGCGTGAAGGAATGCAAACATCCCTGACCTCTACGCATTGGACCAGTGCCCCCGTCCCTCCCACCCCTGCCGAGTTATGAGGACCAGGAAGGTCTCCAGACATGGCCAGATACCCTCAGGGAGGCACAATTGCCCCCACTGAGAACCACATTGTGAGACAAAAATCTCCCGTGATGTTTGTCCAGACGAGGATACTGAGGAGCTAGTGGCTGGCCAGAGGATTGAGGGAAATGGTGACAGAGCCAGGCCTTGACCCAAGCCGGTGCCCTGTGGTTTGCCTGAGAGGCCAGGCCAGCTGTCTTTGGGCAGCAGTGACTTGACCCCTTGTCACATGCCGAGGCTGCACACTCACCTGAAACATGGGTTTGCTGTCACTCTCGTTAGATGCTCACTTGGGGTTCCTCCACTAGTCTCTGCCTCCGTGTTCCTGTTGGACACTCGAGCACATGGCCTGTTGGGCTGGCCCTCACCCTTGCTCTCGGTTCCTATGTGGCCACTTGCTGGACCTTCCAGTGCCTGGGAGATCCCAGGGCCTTGGCTCCAATGGAGCCCGGGAGCGCCTCTCCTCCTTTCCAAGAGGGACCCCATGACCACTGCCCACACCAGGCCCGCTAAAGCCCCCAGAAGCTGGGGATGGAACCCATCACACCTCCAGCCCCTCCAGTGACTTCAGCACCCCACACCCCCACCCTGCCAGCCCCGTCCACCTTTCTCATTTCTCTCCTGTCATCCCTGGTGTGTCCCTCGTGCCGGCTCTGTGTCCCATCGCCTTGACCATCATCTCCACTTTGTTTGTGTCCTCAGACAGATGTTCCACCCATCTGTGCTGTCCGGCCGTGTCTCCTCCGCCCGGGCTCCGCGAGCCCCCGTGGACTGTGCTTGTGGGGAGCTGCCCCCCGCATTCACCAACCTGTCCGTCCGTCCGTCCGTCCGTCCGTCCGCCCCCAGGTGCTGCTCCATCCTCCTCCTTCACATGGCTTCCTCGCCCAGCGCCGCCACAGCCTCACCGCCTCCGTGGTCCCCATTCTGTCTGCGTCCCCATCCTGACTGTCTCCCCGCTTTCAGGTTCCCGTGGGCTTGTGTAAGTGCCTCTCCTAGACGCCTCTTCACCCAGCCATGCAGGGCACAGGTGGCCTTCAGGCGTTCTGGCCGCTGAGACCTTTATGCAAACCAGGTTCCTGCCTTACGGAGATGCAGGCCAGGCCAGGCAGGGGAAGGACAGGTTGGGACGTGTGTTTATCCCCCTTTAATCCGGAAGCACCGAGATTTATGCATAAAGCAGCAGTATGTGAAGACTTGGGGGTCATCTCACCGGGCGAGGGGCAGAGGTCAGAGGGCATGAGGTGGTGGGTGGGCACAGTTGGTGAGTCGCCCAGACAAGGAGCTCACGATGGGCCTCACCGTGTGGGTCCGTGGGTCCTCAGACCTGTTCTGATGTCCCGGGTGTCCTTTTGAGTCCGTCATCATAATATGCAGCCTTGTGCAGCACCCAGGCTAGCACATGGCCCTTTAGCTTTACCAGCCAAGACTGCACCCCCAAATCCTACCTCCTGTCCCCAGCTACTCTCTTAAATATCTCCTGGGCCACCTACAAGGCTTGCTGTGTGCACCCCATCAGTCCGCTGTCCCAATGCCCCCACATGGACGTGATCTCCCCCTTCTCCTTCCTCAAACCACACCCTGGTGAAACCCACAAGACTGTCCCCTCCTATCATCCACCAAGTGACCAGAAGCTGCCCACAGCTCCACTCAAAACATTTTGCTGTAAAATTTGGTTACAATCTCTTGAGGGGCCAGTTCCAGCTTTGCCCATCTGTGTGATCTTAACCCAGCAGATGCTTGCTCATTGGCACATCTGTCTTTAGTTTGAATAGTGCCTGTGAAGGGCACGCAGGAGCCAGGCTCTCGCTGCTTCTGTCACAGCCCTTCCCCTCTATTCCCCTAAGTGGAGGATGGGAACAACTCTGGGGGAGCAAGTCTGCTGGCCAACCAGCAGGCCACCCCATGCGACCTCCTGATGGTGTGGACATCCATCTATGTATGTGAATGTGATGGATCCACAGTCCTGGAGTTTCAGGGGCTCCAACAAGAGCAAATATCTGTTTGCATCTTTATTTTCAGCCTGTGGCCACAGAGCGAAGCCCAGTCTCTTGCTCATGAAACTACAGAGCAGGTAGAATCCAGGTGGCAAAAACCAATGTTGGATTCTGAGCCCCACCCCACTCCTAATCCATTACCAAAAAAAATATTTCCCCAAACTCTGAGGACCTGATTTCCCTGCACCACATACCAGAACTGTTGGTCCTGACCCCAGGGATTCCAGCCCAGCCCCTGGTGTCCCTCATCCCCTCCTTGAGAAAGAGAGGAGATTCCAGACTGGACGCTTGTAAGAGAGGGCAGTCCATCCCACAGCCAGGGGTGGGGTTTGGGGACAGAGCAGAGGGTGACCCCTGCTTGTCACCACCCCTTTCCTGGGGTTCAGTGGAGAAACCCATCAGGCAGCTGCATCTTGCTTTCAGTCGCTGGTGCCAGCTCATTTCTTTCATCCCCTTTGACATCATCAGGAATTTCTTGGCAGAAACATCAGGCTTGGGGGCCCCAAACAATCATAGATAAGATCCAGGTGCCAGGAGTCACCAGGTGTTGGCATACATGTCTAGGTGCTGCCTGGGAAACCAGAAGCAGCTTTTAGACTGGGGGGTGGGCACTTTCTTTCTGCTCCATAGAACGTCAGGTACAGGCATGTGAGGGCTCTGCCCCCACCCACAACAGCCTTGTTGGCCAGGCCCTGATCCAAGGCAAGTTGGACCCCACCCAACAGGCCAGATGCCCACGTGGAGAGTTCAGAACTAGCCACACGTTGGGTGTTTTGCCCACACAAAGCCCCCACTGTGCTTCCCGGTACACTCAGATGCTCAGCATGGTCTGTGTCCACACAGTACTGCCCTTTGGGGGCCCTCCTCCAGCCTTCTCTGCCCCCACCGCCCCCTACTCTGGCCACTCTGACAACACCATATATTTCCCTCATGGCTCTGGACTCGGGTGGGGGTGTGTGTGTGTGTGTGTGTGGTGTGTGTGTGTGTGTGTGGTGTGTGTGTGTGTGTACATGACTGAATGAAGTGTGCTGTTCCCTAAAGCCCCTCACTATGCAGGTGATGAACAAGAACAGAGTCCGGGACTGGCGGTGCCACATGCAAGTGACTAAATTGTCTGCCCATCATCTTTCCACACTTGGATCATAACCCCCCGTAAATCATTCAGGAAAATCACCGAGTGGCCCGAGGACCCCAGATATTTTTTCACTGATCTGGGTGGTCAGGACCCCGTGAGGCATTCAGAAACATCCTGCTTCCTTCAGTCATTCACAGTCAGTGAGCAGTCACTTGGCCTTCCCTCTGCCTCTGTCCGAGATAAGAGGTCCTCCAAGCTCTCCAGGCTGCCTGGTGCCCACCAAGGGCAAGAGGAATAGAGCACCCCCAGAACCCACCAGTCAGCCCTACAGCCCCAGAATGGCTTCTCAGACCTTTGAACTCTTTCTCCATCAGATCCACCAGCCTGTGCTTCAGATTTGGAGTTTGATGGAAAACCAGGCATGTATTGGGTTGGCCAAAAAGATGATTCTGGTTTTTCCATAAGATGTTAAAAACCGGAACAAACTTTTTGGCCCACCCAATAATAATCATGGACTATTAATGGCCGGAAGGACTCAGAGAGGTCTGCCAGTGACAGCATGATTCTTGCTTTTTTTTTTTTTTCCCCTTTTTCACAACCTGCAGGAAAGAAAAAAATAAAATTATATTTGACAGTGTTACCCTGTATACAAATGCATATATACCTAACGGGGACAAAAATGTCTCAAAGCAATTTTAGACCGTGCAATGAACTCAGATATTCCCTGTTCTCTCTTTTTCAAAACTTTTTAAAAAATCTGATCAACACTCACCAAATTGATTTTAACACCCCATGAGTCAAGAGTGACAGTTCAAATAATATTTCTCTTCTCCACTGTTTCTCAAACTCCAAAAATCCACCTCCCTTAAGACTTTGCCATACTCGTGTCAGCTGTATTTGCTTGTACTTAATAGGCTCCTTTAAATTAACTATTTCCCAGAAATAAATATTTAAATTTATTTTCTTTATTTGAAGAAGAAAAACTATCATGACAGCAAATGGGAAACCAGCGTATTTGCCATAAATATATATGGTTACCATAAAAAATAAATACAGTGAAAACAAAACTTATTATTAAAATTTAAATTAACAAAATTTATTATTAAATTCTTACCAGACCCTGATGTATGCCAAGGTTCTGATCCTTAATGAGTCCTGTTAGTGTTTGTTCAAAAAAGAAAAGAAGAGTGAGGGAAATGGCAAGTGTTAGGAAGTGTCAAAACCATGATGCTGATACTCATGATGCTGGGTGGTGGGGGTGAAAATCACATGTTTATCATCATATGAATCGATTTATCTAAACAGTGTCTGAGCATCACCTAAAATCAACTCTCAAATCACCTAGAATTGTCTCAGCTAATATGAGCGCTGTTGTGCAGGGGAGCCTGAGAACCAGAGGGAAAGATTTGGCTCAGGGTCACACAGCTAGCAGACAGGGGGCTGAGACCAGGTTCTGTCCTTGCTCTACCATCCTCCCTGTCTTGACCCCCTCTGGAGAGGCAGAGTTCCCACCAGGAGACAGAGGTGAGATGGGCTAGAAAAGGAGGGTCGCTGCAGCTGTGTGCTGAGCTGAGAGGAGCCTGTAGAGCGTGTGGGGAGTCCCTCGAGGGAGTTGTAAGGAGCTCTGCCGGGGCAGAGTGACCACCATCACAGCATCACCCCCTGACCCAGCACCCCGTCAGAGGCGCCAGGCGGGGCGTGGAGGACCAGTGACTGGAACCCCTGCTTCAGAGCCACAGATCAGAGAGGCCTGGCCCGTCCCCCACAAAGGCTGTCAACCCCCGCCCAGACCACATCCAGGACGGAGGTCTCAGGCAGCAGCGCCTTCTGTGCTGGTAGCTCAGTGCCTGGGGGGGGCAGAGGTCCCAGTGGGGCGAGAAACAAAGGCAGAGACATCTCCGGGAGAGAGTGTCTGGGGTGACTGGCGGGAATGGGGGTGGCGCTACAAGGCACCCCCCGGACATGATTCTGGGATGGGGTTGTGATGGAGCGTTTCAGGGGAGAGACAGAAAAGAGAGCCTGGCTGGGGCTGGTGGCCAAGCCCCAGGACTCCATCTGGGAGAGGGAGCAGACAGGTAGAGGGGGACCTTCAGGCTTGGGGTGGGAAGGGATCGTCCACGGAGAAGCCCTAGCTGGCACCATGTCACCCCCACCATCTGGAGGACTGACCCTCTCGCCCAGCTGGTAATTCAGGCCCAAGCGCTACTGTTAACTCTTGGCGAATAGAAACCCCTTTCCGTCCAGCAAAGCGAGCGACCCACAGGGGTGTGTCTGTTCTTGGGAGAGGCGCCAGCGTTTTAAGTGAAAAACCTCTGTCAATGCCGTTTGCTTCAAAGTTGCGACCCGCCCTGTGTCCCTTACCTGGGGATGTACCTCACTGACCTGGCCTTCATCGAAGAGGGTACGCCCAACTACACGGAGGACGGCCTGGTCAACTTCTCCAAGATGAGAATGGTGAGTTCCCCACAGCAGGGGGGGGCAGGGGCAGGGGGACATCAAAACCCGAGCCCAGGCCCACCGGAGCTCTGCCTCCAGGAGCAGGCCTCCAGGCCTGGCCGACTGGCGGGGAGCCTGAGCCCAGCTCCTCCTGTAAGAAGAGACACCCCCTTAAGTGGCGGTTAGCAGTGACCTGCCCTGAGCCAGCTGTACCTCCATCCCCTCCTCTAACGCCTGTAGGCTGAGGAGTGGGTGTTGTCTAACTCACAGGGGAGCAGGCTGAAGCTGGGAGTGATCCAGGACCAGCCCAAGATCACCCCTAAGTAAAGGGCAGAGCCGGATCTGGGGCTCTGTGTGACTCCAAAAGGTGTATCTTTATTCCAAGCCCATCCAGTGTCGTTCAGATAAGCACTTGCTTTTTTTTTTTTAACTTTATTTTATTTATTTTTGACTGTGTTGGGTCTTCATTGCTACACATGGGTTTTCTCTAGTTGCGGTGCACAGGTGTCCCATCGCAGTGGCTTCTCTTGCTGCAGAACACAGGTTCTCAGGCACATGGGCTTCAGTAGTTGCAGCTCATAGCTCTAAGCACAGGCTCAGTAGTTGTGGCACATGGGCATATTTGCCCCAAGGAATGTGGGATCTTTCCAGACCAGGGATCAAACCTGTGTCCCCTGAATTGACAGGCAGATTCTTAACCACTGGACCATAAGGGAAGTCCTAAATAAGCCCTTGCTTTATGTGGCCTCAGCAGAATCATTTCTGCAACACCTCCTAAGCAAGTAGGTTTCCAATTTCCCCAGGGAAATCTAGGACCTGGGAAGGGAGATGAAGACCCCTTTCCAGTAGGGAGCCTTGTTTGTACCCATCCTTCTCCCCTGTTGTCTCCAGCCAGAGAGCCTCTTTTTGTATTGGTTCTATGTCATGGGCTTCCTCCTAAGGTTTTGTTTAATTGGTAAGATTTCTCTATCAAGGGCAAGTTGGCAGCACTGTCCTAGTGGCAGGATGAGGAGACTTTGTGTGGTCTTGCACAGCATGGGCACATGGAAAGTGGCCTTTAGCGGTTGCTGGAGTTGAGGGGAGCTGTTTTAGGATGTTGGATAAGCTGGCACCACTGATCAAGTGATGTTTCTCTCTCAATCACATACTGTAATTTTTGTTGTTGTTCAGTCCTTAAGTCGTGTCTGACTCTTTGTGACCCCATGGACTGCAGCACACCAGGCTTCCCTGTCCTTCACCGTCTCCCAGAGTTCACTCGAACTCAAGCCCATTGAGTCAGTGGTGCTATCTAATCATCTCATCCTCTGCCACCCCCTTCTCTTCCTGCCTTCAATCTTTCCCAGCATCAAGGTCATCAGGCTTTTTTTTTTAGCAATAAAATCACTCATTTATTTTCACTACTTAAAGAAAATGATTGGTAATTTTCTCTTACTATATTATCTGTGAGTCTTTAAAATAATTTTCATCATCTTTAGTGTGATCTGGCTGAATATATATTTTACATTTCAAATATACATCTTTTTATTGAAGTATAGTTGATTTACAATACTGTGATAGTTTCAGGTATATGACATAATGATTCAGTGTTTTTATAGATTATATGAATGGATAAAGAAGATGTGGTGGTGGTGGTTTAATTGCTAAGTCGTTTCTGCCTTTTGCGACCCCATGGACTCTAGCCCACCAGGCTCCTCTGTCCATCGAATTTCCAAGAATTCTGGAGTGGGTTGCCATTTCCTTCTCCAAAAGAAGATGTGGTGTGTATATGTATATGTATGTATGTGTACATACATATATATTTATATATATACACACACGCACACACATATGCTGAAATATTATTCAGCCCTAAAAAAGAATGAAGTTCTAAGAGGTACAAAATGTTATGTATAAAATAAGCTATAAGGATATATTGTACAACACAGGGAATGTAACCAGTATTTTATAATAGCGACAAATGGATTATAACTTTTAAAAATTGTAAATCACTGTACTGTGCACCTGTAACTTATATAATAATGTGCATCAGCTATACTTCAATAAATGAATAAATTGAATGAGGTTCTGCCATTTGCAGCAACGTGGATGGACCTCGAGGATATTGTGCTTGGTGAAATAGGTCAGAGAAGGACAGATAGTCCGTGTTACCCCTTATAACCTATAGATTTATCGATTCTTACCAAGGATCAGCCTTTGAGGCAGTTGCTAGTATAAGGAAAATCATGATTCTTCAGTAGCATCTCCCAGGAGGTGAATTAAGAAGCTGAGTTGATGGCTATTGATGTCCCTTCTGTTCTGCAGGGGGAGGGGGTCCAGGGGTGGTACTAGGAGCAAATTGTTTCTAAAACTCGCCTTCCTGGGACTTCTCTGGTGGCCCAGTGGCTAAGACTCCATGCTCCCAATGCAAGAGACACAGGTTTGATCCCTGGTCAGGGAACTAGATCCCACATGTAGCAACTAAGACCTGGCTCAGTCAAATAAATAATAAATATTTAAAACTCTCCTTCCTTCCTGCAGATATCTCACATCATCCGAGAGATCCGCCAGTTTCAACAAACTGCCTACAAGATCGAGCACCAAGCAAAGGTGAGCCGGCAGCATTTGCAGTCACTTCTGATTTCTCTTGAGTGCTGTGGCGGCAACCCCCTTCTTCCTGCCTCTTCCCCTCCCCCTCCAAACCCAAGCATTTTCTACCTTGAATTCCCTGGGACCCACTCTTCCAGGAAGCCCTCCTCTGTGTGTCCTGTCCCCTGACCCACCACGAGTTCCCCCTCCTTCAGACAGAGCTTGTGTTCATCCCATAGCTCCCGTCTAATCTTTACCTGCCACAGGATGGCTTAGAATCATGCCTGATCTCCCTGGAGGCAAGAGAGCCATGTTTACCACATCTTTTCGAAACGCTCACCAGTTTCAAAGTTCACTGCTAGAAAGGGCACCCAGCAGAAAATCCCCCAGCCTCCAAGAAAGTTCCCCTCCCAACACCAACCGCATCACTCATTCTTTGTGTGTGTTTGCAAGCACAACAAAACTTCTGTTTTACTCTGTTAGCAGGCTATACACACGCACATATTTCTTTGGGGCTTCCCACGTGGCTCAGTGGTAAAGAATCTGCCTGCCAATGCAGGAGACCTAAGAGATTTGGGTTCAATCCCTGGATTGGTAAGATCCCCTGGAGGGGGAAACAGCAACCCAGTCCAGTTTTCTTGCCTGGGAAATCCCATGGACAGAGGAGCCTGGTGGGCTACAGTCCATGAGGTCATAAAGAGTCGAACACTACTGAACATGCATCTACTCCTTTGTGATAGACTTGCACTGTCTCCTGCCAGGTTCCATGAACTCACTCTGTCTTATAGCTGATAGCCACAGGGAGAAGAGAAACCTTAATCAAGTGTGCCGCTTTTTCCTTGTCATTCACTCATTCTTTGATTTGGCAGGTGCTTATTGAACACATACCAGGTACCAGGCACTGTATTAGGCCTTTGCCCCCTTCTTAAACTTGCCCTTGAGCTCCAATGTGCAAAACAAATAAATGTTACTGCCCTTTAGACTTGGAGAAGGAAATGACAGCCCGCTCCAGTATTCTTGCCTGGGAAATCCCTTGGACAGAAGAGCCTAACGGGCTACAATCCATGGGTTGCAAAGAAAGGGACACAGCTGAAGAGACTTAAGCATACTAAGCATGCCCTTCAGGCTCCTTCTGTTAACAGCTTTGCAGTGGTGGTGTTTGCTGCCAGTCTCAACAGAAGCAACACTCTTAGGGAAACAAATGCTCATGATGGAGAAAACTGACCAGTCTGCTGACTTCCAGTATATTTGGAGGGTTGAGATTTTGTGCTCTATAAAGAACTGTTCATATGAAGCTACTAACTAGATATAAAAGTCTGGTCCTGGGACTTCCATGGTGGTCCAGTGGTTAAGACTCTGCCCTTCTACTTCAGGAGGCATGGGTTCGATCCCTGGTTGGGGTACTAAGATCCCACATGCTACATGGCATGGCCAAGAAATAAAAATAAGTAATTTTTTAAAAGACAGAAAAAAATAAAAGTCTGGTCTATTTCCCATAGCTGTAATATTGCCACGTCTTTATCAGAGTTTGTCTAGACATGAAATCTGAGGTCATCTTCCTGGAGGTGCTGGTTGAGAGCCATTAATCAGACACATAACCTTTTCATTGGTGACTAATGGTTAGCATCCTAGACAGCCAGGTCAGTCCCTCACAGTAGCAGAAGGTCAACTAGCAAAGAAGCTCACAAGGACTTGATTTTTCTCCTGCAGCTATCAGATGGTTCCCAATTACATACTAAGAAATGAAATTGTTTTCTTCCTCCTGATCTAAGTGTCTGTGGAAAAACATGAACCTTCAGCTCCAAACAACTGACAAGTCACTGAACCTTGGAAACGTGAAAGTGTTTAATTGCTCAGTCCTGTCCCACTCTTTCTGACCCCATGGACTGTAGCCGGCCAGACTACTCTGTCCATGGAGTTCTCCAGGCAAGAATACTGGAGTGGGTTGCCATTCTCTTCTCCAGGGGATCTTTCTGACCCAGGGGTGGAACCCAGATCTCCCATGTTGCAGACAGATTCTTTAGCATCTGAGCCACCGCTGAGCCTTGGAGAGATTCTTCATGAAGGGTAGGGGTCTACCTGTGAGATGTGGGTTCTGATCTCTCATTGTACATTTAACACGCAGGAGTCCAGCAAAGCACTTAGGAGTTGGGTGAAGTGGAGCACATGGAGTAAGGAGAATAGTTTAATCCATGTGGTGACTCTTCATGATTTTCCACTCTGAGATTTTGCCCTGGAGTGAGCCTCGTGAGGGGAAGAACAGGGAGCCTCCTTTCTTACACAGCCTCAGCTTCCGCAGTCGGCTCCTGGGGGATTCTCTCTTATGCTACGTAATCCTGATGTTTAAGAACATTTTTCCAACATATGGAAACACTAAAAGAACTGTCTCTGGAGTTGGAAATGGTAACCCACTCCAGTATTCTTGCCTACAGAATCCCATGGACAGAGGAGCCTGGCGGACTACAGTTCATAGGGTCACAAAGAGTCCGACACAGCTGAAGCAACTGAGCACACATGCACGAAAGAACTGTGAACACCCGTACATCCACGGCGTAGATGCTACAATCGACATTTTAGATACGTAGATATAGATGTGAATGTGAATGTGAAAGCTGCTCATTCACGTCCAGCTCTTTGCGACCCCATGGACTACACAGTCCATGGAATTCTCTAGGTCAGAATACTGGAGTGGGTAGCTGTTCCCTACTTCAGGGGGTCTTCCCAGGTCTCCCACATTGCAGGCAGATTCTTTACCAGTTAAGCCACCAGGGAAGCCCATAGATAGAGATGATTATATTTTGAAATATCTATTTATTTGGCTGCACTGGGTCTTTGTTGCACCATGAAGGATCTTTAGCAGCAGCACTTGAATTCTTAGTTGCAGCATGTAGGGATCTAGTTCCCCAACCGGGATGGAACCCTGGCCCCTTGCATTGGGGGTGTGAAGTCTTAGCCACTGGACCACCAGGCAAGTCTCATAGATATAGACAATTTTTTGATATGAGCCTAAAATATGTCTTCTAACACTCAACCACAGGAATGATGGTCAAGAGTAATTTTGACCATATGTGATTTTGTATTACTATGAAGACAAAAATTTAAGACAATACTAAAAAATAGTATTAAGACACAACAGGGACTTCAATGGTGGTCCAGTGGTTAACAGTCCGCCTTCCAATGCAGGGGACACGGGTTCAATCCTGGTTGACGAATTAAGATCCCACATGCCTTGCAGTGTGGCCAAAATATAATAATAATGAAGCAAAATCATAAACATTAAAACATTCATTGTTTTTAATGCATCTTTGCCTCATGTGCAAGCCTGATGCCCCTCTCCCCATGATGCTGCCTGATTCCTGGGAGACACTCAGTGACCACTTAGTATATTATGGAGATCGCATCACCTTGCATTCCTTCTTCTCTTTTCCTTTTCTCAGGTAACGCAGTATTTACTGGACCAATCTTTTGTAATGGATGAAGAAAGCCTCTACGAGTCTTCTCTCCGAATAGAACCAAAACTCCCCACCTGAAGCTGGTACACAGCCCAGATCCAGCCGCTCCCATGGACACGTGCTATATGATACTGTACATAGTCGTTTGGTTTCTCTGGGTTTTCTTCTTTAGTATGTGCTTCTCCAAGAAACAAATCCGTTCTTGTTCTTAGATTACCATAGAACCAGAATATGAATTTCTGCACCGTTTAAGACTTGGTCTGCCCGCCCCACCCCTCGTCTCCTGCAGTGCCTGGTTCTTTTCATCAACCATCCTTTCAGTCTGTCCTTCCCAGCCCGTTACTCTTCTCCAAAGGGAAAACAGACCCCGCGCATACACAACTCTTAGGCACCTGTCCTGCTTCTGTCTGCCCCCAGCCCAGGCCTCTGGGCTGAGTTGGCCAGGCAATGAGGTGGGAGGGGGAACCATACCCCGGAGTCTGGTCATTGACAAATCTTCCTGCTGATGGTGACGCCGATTTCCAGAGCAGCTTTTCCAGCCCAAATCGCAGGTCTCCAAACTCCGCACCTCCCAGTGACCCGGAGGGAAGAGGGTCCTGTCCGCTGAGAACCACGCCCCACGACAGCCTCCGAGGCCACCGCCTCATTCAGGCACCGTGCCACTCCTGGTTCTGGAAATAGCACCAGGGGGCATGACCATCTGTCTCCGTAACCCTGGACAAGGCCCCAGAACTTCCCGAGGAAAACAGAATCACAACACCAAGTCGTGTCGACTTTGCCAAAGGCGGCCAGCATCCACTGCAAGTCAGGAACACGTGAAAAATGTCACTTTTCCTCTTTGAGCCGCCTAATGGTCACGACAAAGCTTACGTTGAGATGCTCCCAGTCTGTATGCCTTGTGAAAAATAGTACCACACTGTAGATTTAGAAACTCAATAACCAAGTGTTTTTATTGCATATACTGTAGTCCTGTCTAAATGCCTTCTAGCAGGAATATAGTACTGTAGTGCTTATTCTGTGAATACTACCATCTATTTTTTACATTGTACAGTATAGAAAACACAGGTCAACTCTGAAGTGGCAGGCATGCTCCACTCCGACAAACAGACAACTTTTGCTGTAAGCAATACCTAGTGGTATGAGAATTCTATTTCAAGTCCTATAATATTTCAACTTACAGCTTGTTTGGAAAACAATTTCCATTTTTGTAAAAATATATGTTTCCTGATTACCTCTTGCTAATAAATCTATTCTATCTCAGGGTGAACGGTGGAATTTTGATGGGTTTCATTTATTCACTCGAGGAATGTTTGATGAACACTTGGTCCTTCTCAGCCTCTGGACTCAGACCAGAGGTCTGGAGTGGTCAGGGCATCCATTCCTGCTTTTGGGGGGAACTCATAGTCTGATGTCAAAGAGCATGAATTTGAGCAAACTCTGGGGGATAATGGAAGACAAGGGAAGCCTGGTGTGCTACAATCCATGGGGTTGCAAGGAGTCAAACAAAACTAAGCAACTGAACAACAACAATATAGTCTGATGAGGGAGACTGTTGCAGTTTCTATTGTAGCAGGAACAAATAACTCCAAAACTTAATGGCTGAAAACAGTTTTGCACAATTCTGTGGGTTGTCTGGGTCCAGCTGGTGGTCCTTGCTTGGGGTCCCTTGTGAGGTGAGGATCTTAGTTCTTTGACCAGAGCTGCACCCCCTGCATCGGCTGCTGGGGAAGGAGTGTCTGGAGAGGTGGGTTGTAGTTGTCTCAGGAGTATGGCCATACCAATGGTGGGTGGTGACGCACCCACCAGCCCCCCAAGAATTTATATCTCGCCTCTGGGCATGCGTACCTCAGTAACTATAAGCCTGCCCTGATCCTGACCTCCTAGAGCTCATGACCTGGCTGAAGAGAAGAAACACAAAGCAAATAACCCTCATGTTCCTAACTGCATCTCACATCTCCTCCAGGCTCCTCAAAACAAACTACCTAGAGGGCTTCCCAGGTGGCTCAGTGGTGAAGAATTTGCCTGCCAATGCAGGAGATGCAGTTTCGATCCCTGATCTGGGAAGACCCCATGTGCCATGGGGCAACTAAGCCCATGCACCACAACTACCTGTGCTGTAAAGACTGGTAGCTGCAACTCCCGAAGCCCACGCTCCCTAGAGCCTGTGCTCTGCAACAAGAGAAGCCACTGCAATGAGAAGCCCGTGCATCACAGCTGGAGAAATGCCACCGCTCGCAGCAACATAGACTCAGTGCAGCCAAATAAATAAACAAACAAACTACATAGAAACTGCCACCGGGTGCCCTAAGGGCCCCTCACTCTACTGGCCCAACCTGACCTCATCAACTCCCCACTGCCCCGGGTCTCCTTAGCACCCATCCCTGTGGTAGGAGCTAGAAACCCAGAGGTCACCCTGACTCTCACTTTAAAGGGTCACCCGATCTGGGCACTGTTAACCCCTAACTACCTCTCCACACTGGCCACAGCTCTTCATTGCCTCTGCCACTACCTTGGATGAGCAGTTCCCGATTTTTTTATCTAAGGGACCCCTCTATACTCGCAAAAACTATCAAGGACCCCTCCCAGAAAAAGACTATATAAATGGGTTACATCCGTAGGTATAATTGTATTACTGGTTATTTTATTTGAAAAACTTCAGGAAATTTTTAAAATAATTTTTAATTAATTTAAAAATAGCAGTAACACCAGCAATTCCACTTGTGGGTATTTGCCCAAAAGAATTGAAAACAAGATCTCAAAGACATAATGTACACTCATTTTCATAGTAACTTATTCACAATAACTGAAAGGTATAATCAATCCAAGTGTCCATCAACAGATGAATAAACAACCAGTGGTAGACATACAACAGAATGGGATTCAACATTTCAAAAGAAAGAAATTCTAGGACTTCCCTGGTGGTCCAGTGGTTAAGACGCTGAGTTTGCAATGCCGGGGGCTCAGTAAGCTCAATCCCTGGTTGGAGAACTAAGATCCCACATGCCACACCATGTGCCCTCCCAAAAATAAAATTAAAAATGAATAAAAGGACACAAACTATTGTTGTAGAATCTGAAGTCACAAAACACACCTCAGAGGACACTCAAGACAATGGAGAACAGTTTATCACACCAGCGGTTGTGATAAGGGAAATCGGTTCCCAACAAGGCCCATGCTGATTTCGGAGGCTTCGGGTTTATACCCTCCACTACATGACTGGTTACACGTTAGTAATTAGTTTTACAACATGCAGGCATGGAAGAATTAACAATTACAACATGCAAGTGCAGACGCTATTCTTAATCTGAGACAACCTGANAACAGGGCTCAGGCCCAGTTCACATCCTGCCTTAAGTCTTCAAGATGGAATCCCTCTTGCCCTCCTCCCAGCAACCCCAACACTACCACTTGGATAAAGCTTGAAGATGTTATGCTAAGTGAAATAAACCAATCACAAAAAGGTAAACACTGTACAATTCCACTTATATGAGGTCCCTAGAGCAGTCAAATTCATAGAGATAGAAAATAGAATGGTGGTTACTAGTATTTGTTGTTGTTGAAATTTTTAAAATTTAAGAAAAGACATTCACTATCTGATAGCTCTCTTCCAGTATTTTTTAACCATTCAGACGTATTTCGTGGGAATATTTATTCACATAATTTTCCTTAATACATTTCTTTCTACACAAGAGTGAGTTTAAAAGTCTCTGTAACATTTTCAATTACAGCAATAACACTTTAATAAATTATAAATTAACAGAATCTTCATGTTTGCTTTAAAAAAATCATTTATCAAATGTTAAATTGCACAAAGGCAAAAACATGGCTCATTCATCCACTTCTGCTCAGCACCAAGCCTGGCATATTGTGACATTCTGCTCAGAATGTTTGTTGAATGAATGAACCACATCACTCTTCAGATTGTGAACCCTGAACCAGCAACACTAACATTGCCTGGGAATCTGGTAGAAAAGCAGGATTGCCCCACCTCAGACTTCTTGAACCTGAATCTGAGCAAGCTCTCCAAGTGATGTGTGAGCACATGACCATTTTAGAAGCACTGGATTTGACCAAGCACACATCATTCCAGTCCCTGAATATGTCAGTACACTACCTCTCCAATTGCACCACCCTCTATGCCAGTTAGACCAAACTACTGACTGCTCTCATAATCAATTTTTTATTTTTATGTCAGACAATTCCACTGTTCTTTAAATCTCCTTCTCAGAAGACTTCACCAATTTTCTCCAATCAGGGGCTTCATCTGTACCCATCTCAGGTTGATCTCTGCCTCACGTCAAGGACCTGTGTCACTTCCCTCCTATGAGATTCCACATGGACTAGGTGGTCTGACTCAGCCCGTGTCTCCTGCGGCTCCCAGTACCACACCTAGCCCATGAGAGATGCTCTTGTCAGGTCTGATTCAGAGTGGGGCTGCAAGGAAAAAGAAGTGAAAGGAAAAATAAACTTCATCAAAATTAAAAACTGTTGCACATTGAAGAACATTCTCAAGAAAGTTAAAAGACCACCTACAGAATGAAAGAGAATCTTTCTGCAAATCATATATTGGATAAGAGTTTAGTATCCAGAATATATAAAGAACTCTAACAAACTCAAAAGCAAAAAGACAACAAACCAACTTAAAAAATGGTCAAACCCAGAGGGATCAGGTGGAGAGGGAGGTGGGAGGAGGATCGGGATGGAGAATACATGTAAATCCATGGCTGATTCATGTCAATGTATGGCAAAAACCACTACAATATTGTAAAGTAATTAGCCTCCAACTAATAAAAATAAATGGAAAAAAATGGTCAAAAATGGGACTTCCCTGGGGCCCAGTGACTAAGACTCCTAATGCAGGCCACCCAGGTTTAATCCTTGGTCAGGACACTAGATCCCACATGCTGTAACTGAGACCTGGCCCAACCAAATAGATAAATAAATAGGTGGGGCGGGGGGGTTGTTTTTTGCTTTGAATGGACAAAGAACTTGCATAGACATTTCTCCAAAGAAGATATGCAAATGGCCTATAGGCACATGAAAAGATATTAAACAACATTGGTTATTCAGTTCTGTCAGTCATGTTCAACTCTATGCGACCCCATGAACTGCAGTACACCAGGCTTCCCTGTCCGTCACCTACTCCCAGAGTTTACTCAAATTCATGTCCATCAAGTAGGTGATGCCATCCAACCATCTCATCCTCTGTCATCCCCTTCTCCTGCCTTCAATCTTTCCCAGCATAGAGTCTTTTCCATTGAGTCAGTTCGCATCAGGTGGCCAAAGTATTGGAGCTTCAGCTTCAGCATCAGTCCTTCCAATGAATACTCTACTCAGGACTGATTTCCTTTAGGATGGACTGGTTGGATCTAGTTGCAGTCCAAGGGACTCTCAAGAGTCTTCTCCAACAACACAGTTCAAAAGCATCAGTTCTTCAATGATCAGTTT